TACGTGTGGCGGAGTGACTGACTGGTCCTCATAAGACGAACTCGGGGGAAATTTATGTATACAGAGTACTAAAAAATGCACTAATAATGCCCATACCATCTGCCCGCGAATACATTTCCAAAAATTGAGTCGACACCTTGTCATATGGACTCCTGACGAATTCTTTGAGCCTAGTGCAAACTGCCAGTATGCTATGGAGGTTATCTGCCACGGCCATTCTATTATTGTCTCTGCACGGGGTATGACGCGGAGTAGATACGACTCTATGCGACTCTGACACCACTTGGACGGGGGGCGAGTACGTCTGGTGGCGCGCGCCAAGCGCGCGCTGCCATTCACGGTCAGCACGTGGTCATGATCAGACTTCAATGCAGTCTGCAAAGCCAATTCATGACGACTGTGCAGTGGGTGAAGTACATGAAACTTGAAGTGAAGTGAGACAGTCTGCAAAGTGACCTCACTGCAGGAGCAACACTAACTAGGTCCGCGTTATTCGGCAGCCGTGGCGTTTAAGCGTCCGCTTTTGGGGATAAAGCTACTCCTGGCATCCTTCGTCGAGGGCTCTGTGTTACCGGAAGGCATAATTAAACATCAAATCACAGGGAAGGCTGCTCTGCTCTGGTATTGCGCTTCTAACATCCCGAGAGACGCTATCTCTACCGATCGGTATCTTATGTCAGTGGGATCTGGTGGCGCTTCGGATGTGTTACGCTGAAAACAAGAAGGGAGTGTATTTCCCCGCGGTAGTGTCGTGGGGCTTCAGCGGCGTTGAATGAGCCTCTGCTGTAGGTGCCCTGAGCCCTCAATCAATATAGTTGGTGATGTCTATCGCTCTCCATTAGACATCTCTGCTAACCCTTCTAGGCTTGATTGCTTGCCTGAATCAGCGATTCCGGACTCGATCCCCCATCCTGTGTTCCCTCACTATTTCAGTCGCGTGAGCGTCTATCCATGGAAGTTATTCTTGGATATCTCTAGTCAAAGGTATACCCTAGCCCTACAATACGCTATTGGGAGTTTGTGAGACGAGAGGGAAGTGGCAAAGGTCAGATTGTCATCACTTATTCCCTGGTACGTCCTGGGCTGTCCTGGGTAAGCTCGTTTGACTATATCAGGTTTAGTGACTCTTAAACTCCTCTTTTGGGGACAAGGCCACTTCGCGCCAGCACCGGGCTTAAGATTGTTCCTGGTGTTGGGCGGTAATGGGCGCTTGATTTTCCTCCTTTCCTTCGGTGCTTCTTGCTCTCAATTGACTCAATGGAACAGTCCGGGGACTATCGTCTGTTCTACTGTATATTCTGAAATAGACTTTCCCAAGAACTCCCAGATACTGGACACTGTTCAGTGCACACCCTCGGGTTGGTATATAATGGATATACAAGCTGGCTCTAGATCCACAGGCCCTCTTTCATCTCCGCCCCACTCCCCACAGTTCTTGGCCTGCAGCTTGCTATCTCCCTCTAGTACTATGCCTTTGCAGAAAGCACTACTTATCGCTATCGATTACCGCGGTAAGGATGCACTGGTAGGACCCGGGCACGGCGTTTACGAACTCAAGGAATTACTACTTGGTACGCCCTCCATTACTTCCAGCGTTGTCGGTACCTCCAGGCAGCCAATGTTAACTGCGTCATACAGGTCAATATGGCTACAGGGAAGAGAACATTACTCTCATGATTGACCACGAGGATCGGCCAAGCTGGCTACGACCAAGAAAAAACAACATTGTGAGTACACGCTTGAGAATTGAAAGTCGGAGGTAATAAGCGGTATCCCTAGAAGCGACAGGCTGCCAAACTAGTTGAAAATGCTTGTTGCGGTGACAAGTTCTTCTTTTATTGCATGTTCCAAATTTGTGTCCATTATGAGTCAACTCACTTACTTTTGCAGTCGCGGGGCATGCATCTCAAGAGCCTGCTGACAATGATCCCAATGAGGAGGATGGTCAGGACGAAGGTAGATATATTTTCTGGTCATTTGTCATCCGGCGCTCTGAGCACCTTGAAGAGCTTCTTGCCGAGGACGGCCTCCCTATCCGTGACAATGTATGATACTTCTCATTAGAGTATCACATTCTTATTTTCATCAGGACCTACGGGCCCTACTCGTCGACCCACTTCCAGCAGGAAGTAGTCTCGTGGTGAGTATCTGATTATCTGGGATAATCATTAGACTAACCGGGGGGCGTAGGCGATATTGGACACATGTCATTCTGCGACAATGCTAGGTAAAGTTACTGTTTTATGGGATGTATTCGCTGCTAATCAGCTCCGGGATCTGGAATAAAGACCTGGAGCACTATCATTGCAATGCACCTTGGAATCCTGCGAGGAAGACCTCACCCATAGGTATGCCCTGCTTTGCTAACTCATGACTGACGTACCGTCCATAACCTTCTGACTGAATAGCACCTTATGATCTGGCTGGTAAATTTAGGGAAATCCCTCCACTTGTCACAGTTGACTGAGGCACATGCTTGATATGCAGTACTTCGCCATCATCCAGCACCGGATTCTCGTCCGTCATTCCTTCATCGAAGAAGTAGCTCGTCATCTTCTTTGGGTCGCAGAATGTCTTGGGCATCTCCACCTGCGATCAATACAGAAGATTCATGGACTAGGATTATATGCACAGGCGACTGCCCTCAGATTGATAATGAAGTAGCCAACGTTGTAAGCTCCAGTAGAATGCTGAGTGCTGTCTCGTGCTCACTGCATCCTGGACCGTGATGTAGGTCTCAATATCGGCCTGCATGGATTCTCAGCTTTGCTGGGAGGATTCCGCCGGAAATTCTATTACTCATGTGAGCCCCGTGCTACACCTAATTCTGGTTTCCGACGCCAGATTCACTAGGTTTTGGTGAATTATTTGAGGAACAATCCAGACAGCACTTTGTACGAGGTGGTTCTGGAACTCAGGTAGGAAGTCTCAGTGATCGCCTTTGTTTCAGGAATAACCTGCATCATGGATAGTCGTAAGCTCCAGCGGGTAGGATGGGAGGTTGAACGACAACAATCCATAGAAGGTGATCCTATGAATCCCGGACAGGTCTATCAGCTCCCGCAGGTCAGTTTAAGCTTGTCTCCCTTGCTAACTCACGACTCAGCGCCATTCATTATATAGATCGGAAGCCACTGCACTCTCGTGAGTAGCTTCCTCAGAAGCCTTTATGAACGCCTCACTTATGACATTTTCCAGGACTTGGATAGCCCGTTCATCCTGTAGAGTACAGGAGAGAGCGAATCCTGATGCAGAAGTCCCTCACCATGGCTGTCAAGCTGCGTCCGTCCGGACTACACAATATAGCAGCAATTTTTATGTCGCAGATTTAGCTTCACCAATGCGCCGTGGTGGATACTAGAAGTGTGCAATCGCAGCGCATGCGCCATGTGAGAACCTCATCTCCCAGTCCACGAACGCCCGCGATCAATCCCTTTGAGAAAGCCAAATGCTGCACATAAGAAGCCATGCTAGCGAAAATGTTTCGGTCTCGCAATACCAGAGCTTCATAGAGACATAACCATTTCCGAGATGGCGTTGATTCATAACCTCCAGGTTGCGCGACTTCTTACGTGCCTCAAGTCTGAGATTCGCGTAATGTATGCTGTTCTGTGGGTCCATGCTGTGAGGGATAAGACAGACACAGCCAGGTTGAAGGACATATAAAGTGGTGCGACTGGCTCGCTTTTCCTTTCACGAGATCTGCTATGAAATCTGTCGACGGAAAGCCCTTGGACGGCAAACAGGCCACCTGCAGAGGAAAGGCGTCTGGGGAAGGAAAGAAAGCGCTCCTTATCGGTATTGCATACGGAGACGGAAGCGAGGATAGCTTGCAAGGGACCAGTAGTGACGTGCAAGAAGTCTTTAATTTGTTTCGTGGTAAGTCACGCTGTATCCCGCTACAGCAAAACAGCTCACTTGGCGTAGGCTCTGGCTTCCGTGGGGAGGACATAGTTGTCATGAAGGAGAGAGACGTCCTTTCAGATCTCATCCCCACCCGGAAAGATATCGTGAGCATGGATACCGGGACTTGCAACCCTTGAGATGCCGTGATAGACATGACCATACCTCAATAGGACTCGCATATTCACGTACTCGTCGACGGGCTACGCCCCGGCGACATGGCGGTCTTCTACTGTGTCTATTCAGTCGGCCAGCAGTTTCATACCCACTTTTTGGAGACAGACGCAGGCCATGGAGATCACGATCCAGAATTATGTGAAGAAGAGGAAGACATACATGAAGAACGTAGTCATCTATGAACACGCCGTGGTGTCCCTCCGGATAATAGGTCTGGTCACCTACGACCGGGAGTGGCTTTCGGATAGGGTATGGCTGTTAGATCCCAGGCAAGACGGAGTGTGCAGGCTGACATCGCGAATACCAGGATCCCCGCAGGGACCTGGTAGATGCCCTCCCCGACGGGGCTACTCTCTTGGTAAATGGTGATTTCGTTTCTGAGCTGACGGTTAAGCTTACTCAGTATCCCAACTCAGGCTATTTTCAACTGCTGCCACTCGGGAACAAATCTGAGTAGGCTTATTTAACCTCAGGCATATCGTAAGATCTTCTCTGATATCCCTTCAGACTTGGAACCCAATTGCTGCAACGTCGTGTGGAACTGGAAAGAGGGTGGCGACAGGGGTGAGCGCGGCAACGGCAAATTGCAAATTGGGCTTACCTTTTCTGCAGCAGAAATACGAAGAGGAGCCATTTCGATCTCTGCGATCAAGGCCGAAGGTTAACGAAGCGCTAGAGAGTCATACACGGAGTTATTCGCAAGACCCTTGCCGCTTTCCACATACGCATCCCAGGCACACTTACGGCAGGGACAAATAAGACGTAGGACAGAGGCACTGACAGTCGACACTTACTTAGAGCGCGTTGAAACATCGATATTCCACGACGACTTCGGATGTCCCCAGTTGGCATACATTATACATGCGGTGGCGACTGCCCTCCAAGCTCTCAGCCAGCGTGGGCTGTAAGTACAGCGGCGCTTACGTCTCAGAAACGACGTTCCTCTTGAGCTAAACGTTCTCCAACACCCCGCAGAGGAGGCTGACAACGTTCCTATCGCAGGTTTGCTTTTCTGCATGTAAGGGCGGCCATGAAGCTCACGAAGGCCCAGGCGGCGACCTGTTCACCGACGTAGGTGTCTTCCTTTCTCCGATCAAACCCCCCTTTGACTGTGTCTACCGATGGTGTCAGGCATTCGTGAAGGCGCTGAGAAAGAACCCCATCGGGACTTGATCCGCAACATCTGGTACGTTCAGCGCGGCACCCTTCTGCGCCGATCTCATCACGACGCGTTAGCACGCGTTATCACGAACACATCAGACTCATGCGAGAATATGAGAAATGCAGCCGGCCAGCGAGGAGCACCTCCTGGAAACCCCTCGACCCTGATGGGCCCCCCAGGCCTGGCTTCTCTGATCCTCAGGTAAGTGTGTATACCTTCGAGTGACCCTTGTCTGTCGCACTGATGTGCGAATATGGGGGCAGCTGAGTAGTAACGAAACGCTCGTAAGTCTCAAATGTTTCTAGGTTGACTCCATATTCAATCCTTCGCAGAACATGGATAGCCGCTTGAACCTCGGAAGTTTCGTCCGGCGGCAGAGCTTTGACTGTTTCATGCTTCGGTGAGTACTTTGGTCTTGCTTGGTCTTGCTAAGGTGGATGCTTAGACTCACCTGGTACTAGATGATGCGCATCTAGGTGATTGCGATAGCCTGCTTGAACGCTAACAGGATTCTGCAGGGACGTGGACTTCTGATCATACAGACCCTGCACACCATACTACATTTATACCCTGTAAACTTCGCGCAATCTGATCCACGTAGATATCGAAGATGCGTGAATAACCTCGGTCAGAAACCCTTGCCAGTGGAGTGTTCGAACCAGTCTAGCAGGCAGGGATAACGCAAGCAAGATGCACGAGACGTGTAGAAGTGTCTCGTAAGCCAAGGTATACCATTCTAAGGAGACGATCTTCATAGTATGTGCAAAATCCAGGCGCCGTCCGCTCGATCTCTCAAGCTGTCCGACAACCCGCCAAACATATATCGTCCCATTAAGAAGTCGATCCGCCTCACGCCTACCTCCTTCTCCTCCCCATACTCCTTGGGCGTCGTCGATCTCTCAGTGCTTCAGCATCTGCAGTTTTGAGAATATTCCCTCAAGAAAGTAATGCTACGCCGGTCAAGTCGAGTGACATAGCTGAATCCATATGTGATTAAGGAGTAAACTTCGTAGCATTGCATTGCATTCCGTGAAGCGCTGTATTAATGGCCATGAACGACAGGTTGTGGTATATTCGCGCGGAGGTAACTCTGTCCCTTTCCGCCTCGCCATGCAATGGGAAGCCATCATTGGCCAGTCCTTTACTTCAAGTCGCGCTCATACCAATGTGCTTCTCCCTGCGCTGCCCTCAAGCTCAGCTGAATGTGTAGGCTTCTGCGCGGAATGTCGTGAACCGCATCGGCGGGGAGAAGGGGGCTATGCAGGAAGCCATGCTTTCTGTAATAGCCACCCGTCGTTATAAAGCGGACAGGGTTAGTACGACCCCGTTCGCTTTACAGGCCACATTTGAACCCTCTTTCCAGCTGCCTTCATGTGCTATGGCGTCCCGGGAAGCAAGGAAGAAGGCCCTTCTTATAGGCATCAGATACCAGGCCGAAACCGAAGTGTGTCTGAACCAAGCACACAGCGACGTGCAGAAAATGGAACACTTACTCTGTCGTAGTAAGTCTCGGTATCATGATCCTTCTTGTTGAACCTTCTCGATCCGGATTCAGACTACGGATTCCGGAAAGAAGACGTGGTAGTCATGAAGGATGGTTCGAAGAGCCGGCATCTTATCCCCACTAGGGAGAATATCGTACGCACATGCTCCAGAGGTCTGCGCACTGCGATGCACAGAATAATATGAAATGCTTCTTCCACAGGTTACGCAGATTCGGGATCTCGTGAATGGGATCTTCGAGGGAGACCTGGTAGTTTTCTACTGTGCGTTGCCAGCGTCCACAATTACATTTATGATCTGCCATCTGATAAATATACACAAATAGATGCAGGCCATGGCGATCAATCGTCTGATGTATGTGAATACGAAGAAGACTTACACGCGGAATGTCCGTCGCTTTATGTCGCTTCACCTCTATCCACCCCAACTGACATTGGCACAGACTTGGTGACGTGCGACGAGCAACAACTGACAGACGCGGTACGTCGAGGTCCGTTTGTATGGGAAATACAGCATGCGCTCATGACACGACATTTAGGACCTTCGCAAGTATCTTGTAGACACGCTGCCCAACGGGGCCCATCTTCTGGTATGCCGGCGCTCTTGAATCCGGAGGAATCGATTATGTTTACTTCCGTGCGCTACCCAGGCTATCTTTGACTGTTGTCATTCAGGAACAATGCTGAGTACGTGAATCTCTTGCTCTGTATGTTAAGAGGCGGGGTTCCCTCATTTCTTATAGACCTGGAGCACAACCGGTGCAACAGAGCATGGGATTGGAAAGCCTGGAGAGCTAAAAGGGGTACGAGGATTGAGTCCGATGTCCATTAACATACGGCAAAAGCAGCTGACACTTTTCACCCGGCAGGACTCAGTCAACACCAGGTCCATCGGCGCCGCAGCACAATACACACTTATACGATAGGAGACACCGGTGCCGACTTCTTGAAGACCGCCCAACTCAATTCCATATCGCACTGTCTACAACAGAACAGTGTGCAACGAAAACGACAAGGAAGCAAGACAATGAGACTTACAGTCGACACACATTTGACGCGTCTCCCGGCGTCGGTATTTGGCGAGGATCTAGGGCTGCAGATGTCCCCAGGCGCCATGCGTTATGCATGCAGTGGGGATTGCCCACCAAGCCCAGAAGCAGCGACTGTTGTGAGTATAGCGGTGCTTGCGGGTCGCGATCACATTTATTCCTGAGCCTCCGGAGCCAGAATCCGCATTGGAGGCTAACGAACGTTCTTCGGTGCAGGTTTGCATTTCTGCATGCATGGACAGCCACGAAACTCTCGAAGGGCCATGCGGCGGCTTTCTAACAGACGTACGTGTATCCTGTCATTCAGCCTACAACAAATCTTTGAGCGTATTCCCTCTCGGACAATATCAGGCATTGGTGACGATATTACAGAAGAAGCCCAACCCAACGTACCGAGATTTGATGATCAGCATTTGGTACGTCCGCAGCACTCTTCTGCGTCGTTTAGCTCAAGAGGAGCCAGGAGGGAATATCACGGATCTATCAAACGTATGCGAGAATATGAGAACTTGATAGTTCGCCGACCAACCAGGAGGACCTCATGGAAGCGTCTAGACCCTGACAATCCTCCTCCGCCTGGCTACTCTGATCCTCAGGTAAGCGTGTATACCTTGGGTCATCTAGAGTGTCGAGCTTATTGCGAATATCAGCTGAGTAGTAACAGAACGCTCGTGAGTCTCAAATCCATGATGATCCATTCGATGCTCAAGTGTTCGCAGGACATGGGCAGTCGTCTGAACCTTGGGAATTTCATCCAAGAGCCAGGCTCTGAAAGTTTCATGTTGACGTGAGTATTCTGGTCATGCCAAGGATAATATTTAGACTTACTTCCTACTAGATGATGCGCATCTTGGTAATTGTGATGGCGCACTCGATGCAGCCACAACTCTGCATGGATATGGACGTTCAATCGTATGGACCCTGAGCACTCATACTGCATATATACCCTGTAAACCTTGGGCAAATTGATCGATGTAAACATTCAAGACATCCGAACTACCTTAATCAAGAATCCTTCCAGTGCCTGAATCAGTCCAACAGACGAGGGTGACGCAAGCCAGGTGGACAAGTGGTATGAGGGGTAGCCCCAAACCAAAGCGTGTCATTCAGCCCGGAGACAGATCACAGAATGTGCAAAATCCAGGTGCCGCTTGCTCGATCTCTCAAGCTGGCCGACAACCCGGCGAACATATGTCGTCCCATTAAGAAGTCGATCCGCCTCACGCCTACCTTCTTCTCCTCTTCATACTCCTTGGGCGTCTGGCAGCGGTGGCACCTCGCTCGATAAGCCGCGTGAACGTGGAACGATCGCCCGGCATCAAGCGCCGCGAACTCCTCGTCAGTGACTGGCGTCTGCAGGGATCGGTATATGCATCGCAGTACATCCGCAACGTGCACTGTCTCGTGCACGTTGCTCTTTACCCAGATCGTCCAGGGGAGTCGTTCGCTGCTAAGTGTCAAGTCTGTTGAAGGCGGGTAAGTTGCTTCCGCCGCCCAGACCCCGCGGGATGCCTGCATGTCCGGCAGGGCGTTCTCATCCACCGGTACACTCTCCGGAGTTGGAGGGAGCGACATATCGAAGAAGATGACGGGATATTGATGATGCGCGAGGCTCAAGTGAATCTGAGGCTGGTAATTGCCAAACGATGCAGCATGCGCCGATGGACCCTGACGATCATCGTGAGCGTAGATTAGCAGGAATGGAGCCTCTAAGTCGCATACCGCTCCGTTTCCATACTTATAGATCGATAAGATCCTCTTGATCCACTCGTCCGTCGTCTCCAGTTCTTGCACGGCCATCCGGACAACGTCTTTCCTTCTGATCCTTATCCCGTCGTCGTTCCTCGTATCGACACTATCAAGCTCCTCTAGCAGCCGGCTGAGCTGATCCGTGAATGCATGCAAAGCGGCATTATTGGCAGTATGCGGTAGATTGGGAGCATCCGCTGGAAGCGGCCTGCCAGACGGCCAAACCTTCGCCGCCGAGTCCGCAACACTCAAGTTGACGGCGATGGTCTCCCCCCTTGGACCCACAACATCTATCTGTGCCGGAGGCACGAATGCGTTCAAAATCTGCAACAATGTCGCTTCCAGCCGCTCGATCTCCGCATAGGCCATTGCGAAACTTGGGTAGGTGGGATCCCGCTGTCGGTGCGGTGGAGTGCAGCGCAAGTGGCGGTGTGGTTCAGAAAGGTCTGGTAATGCAGTCAAAGCTGCGCAAGCAGTGTATGACAGCCTTGACTGCAGTGCAAGACCCTTCGGGTGGTGGGCGTCGGCAACGCCTCGTGGAAGGCAGTGGGACAGGCATAAGAGGAAGCCTGACACGTGATTTTCCACAGCCCACTTTGTGCTGGTCAGTATGTAGTAATCCTGGCGGCAAAATAGTATGAAAGGCACCGTATATGGCCGAGGCAAGAGGGAGTAAGCATACAGGATGGTACAACATGGCTCCAGACATTCCACCCAATTTTACAAATTTCTGTTCGTACAACTGCGCTCCGACCGTCGAGACCTGCAGTCACGATCGCACAATGGTCCAGTCGAAGCCAGTAATGAAATGAGAAGAGAAAGGCATGGTTTACAAGGGGAAACATACAAGCATGAAGCATAAGACGATTCGTGGTTACGTCGTGAGCGGTGAGCGGAGAAGGCATTCGTGTATTGCCGCCAAAAAGATGCGGAGAGCCTAAGTTGAGTTGAAATCAGGGACAATGTCGAAGCAACATTCGGTTCACTGATAAACCGTGTTCTTGAACTTCATTGGGGTCCCATAGAAACCGTCGTCGAAGTCCAGAGGAGCCTGAGGCTTGTAATATTCATACCCGCTGGGAACCACATACGCCGCCTGGCCGGCAAACGCCTGGAAGCGCGTGTCGATTCCCTGGCACGCGAAGCCCGGGTAGCTCTCATAGCTGTCGGTGACAATAACAGGGCCGAGGGGCTGCGCGTACGGGCCCCCGAAACCGCACGCCACCGCCGCGTCGCCCGCCCAGCCTTGTAAAGAAGAGTACGGTGAGAGCGCAGGTGAATTATCCTGCACCTCATTCGCCAGGTAGTCACCCGACGTCAAGTCATCTTGGATGTATGACTGCGTGAAACGGCCATCTTCAGGCGAAATTTCACCAGTGAAGCGCTTGAAGTCGTCATCCCGACCGACTTGCACCCCATTCGCGGCATCGAAGGGAGCTAGATCCTACGAACATTGTTTTTTATTTAGTAAACATTAAGCAGTGTGAGAGGAGAAGAGATGCTGCTTACGTCACTCCAGCCTGAGAGGACGTTCTCCTCTGCCATGTGGCCGAGAGCAGGCAAAGGTGAGGCAGGCGTCTCGATGACATTTCGGACGAGTGCAACGTCATTCTGGCCACGTGCGGAACCCTCGTGGTCATCGTCGATGGTCGAAACTGGCGAGAGACAGTCGAAGGAGGGCATCGGAGAGCCCTCGTACGTATAAGGGCTGCTGTTGTCCTGCGAGGCTCGAACATCCGATATGGGCGCAGAAGCAGAGCGCTTGAACATCGCCGTCAGAGGCACTCTGAACCGTTCCGCGAAGGGATCAGGCGTCTGGCAGGCGCGATCGCCTTCAAACGCTCTCCTGGTAGCAACATTCTGGTGGTCCACAACGTCCTCTCTCTTGACGGACGAATCGACGACTTGCACGGCCGGAAGCGGCTTTCCCTGTCCAGTCCGAGTTCGCGCCGCAACTTTAGAGTTGCCCTTGCCACCGTTAGCTCCGGCGCCGAGGTCGTACTCCCGGATCGCCGCTTCCAAATCCGCACCCGTCTTCCCCTCGGCGAGCAAATCGGCTATCTTTGCGCACCTCTTCTCTCGGGAACGTTCTTCCTCTTCCGCCTCCCCCCTCCCCTTCCTATTATTGCGCTTTCTAGGCCCGTCCTTGACCTTGGCCAGAGCGTTGGCGCCGGGCTTAAATCGCCAGTCAGGATATTTCCTGCGGTGCTCTGCCTGAGCCCTGACGGCCTTCTCCTCCCATACTTCTCTCTCCTCACGAGGCAGCGCCTTCCAGTATTTGCCTTAATTTTGCGTTAATGTCGGTCGTGGTGGGGTGGAAGCGTAGAATACAACACACCTATGATCTTCGAGAGCGTGCTGCGGTTTCCCTCGATTTTCTCGGTAACGTGTTGGGCACGTATGAACGAGGAGCGGAAGAGGATGAACGCGTTCGGCGGGCGCGGGATGTACCCCGCGTCGCGCTTCTTCGCGTGGGACGTGCGCTCTAACCCCGGCGAGCTGGGCGGGGTCGAGTAGACATCGTCGTCCGGGAGCAGCTCGAAACGCGTCGCGGGCTCCTCGGGCTCGTAGTCGGGGTTGAACGCGAGAGGCGACATGTTCGCCGCGAACGTGAACGTCATGGGCGGGCTCGGGTTGTCCACTAGCGGCGGCATGGGCATGGGGTTGTCCACGAGCGGAGGCATTCCGTCTGGCATACTCGTGTTCAGTGACTCGGCCCGGTTCAGCAGGAGTGAGCACTCACCGTCGTCGTCAAAGTCGTTCATGACAGCAGGCGGCATAACGCGTAAGCCAGCCATGCTCGAAGAGAGACAAACAGGATGCAACGCGGTTGTCGGACGAGAGACAGCCAGAACTGAACGGAGGGAATACTGAGAGCTGTAATTAGCCCGTGTCCTTATTCACTTCTAGGCAACCGGAGCGGGGCAAAGAGAGAGGCACGTCGGCAGAAGGGACAACTTCCCACCACGTCTGCGCGCGTCTTTGCAGTGCACAGAATGACGCCTTGGGCGAATGAGGAGATCCGTGTCCGAGAATCCGCCTGGCGTTGAACCTCGCGAGAGATCAGGTCAGATGACTGGAAACGGCAAGTCAGGGCCAGTCGCAAGGAGCGCGAGCGGAGGAAGATTCCCTACCGATTTGTTATACCAAGTGCCGCTACGGTGCGCGTACGATCCAGAGCGGGAGTCCGTCGCAGAGTATACAACGAGGTGGCCGTCGTAATAAGAGAGGAGAAGGTGATATACCTACAAGCTTTCGGCCCACTAAGGAAATGAACGCCTGCGATGTCCGAGCGCTCCGAATTCGGGTCCCATGGTAAATGAGGCGCAGCGCGAGGAATAACTTTGCTGTTTTCCCCTCTTTTTTCGCTCGGTAAAGGTTGCACCACACATCGTGTTCGGCATGGTATTCTCCGGAAGACGTAGTGCCGTGCTATCGACGATGAGCCTGCTGAGGTACCCTGACAGCGAAAGATAATCCAAGGCACAGCTTCGGAACCAAAAACATGTGCAAGTCACAGTTTACATATAGCAGCCCGTCCCCCGGATACCTCTCCTTTCCTCCGAATGACAGAACACTTGACGGGGGCCACAAAAGTTCAAGTAGGAACTGAGCAACTTCACAACTGGGTCAAAAAGTTGTGTGGTGTCTTACAAGCAAATTGAGGAAAAGCCCAGTAAGCTTGAATTAACCCTCAAGACGCAGTTTACAGGTGTGGGGATTTCGGGGTCTTGGGTGGCTGTAGCGGCACAGCGTCTGCCAATATCAGCCACCAATCCGCCACCGTCCTTTCCTTACACTTACACTCAAAGCTACGCGTCTATGCACATTCTCTAACCACCGGTCCACCCGGGGAAGCACGAGCACGAGATGGCAATGCGAACGTTTTATCCATCCCCCACTTCCGCCCCGCTTGACTCCTCATAGCCTTGACAACCACCGGAAATTGCACCCCCGCCCTCATGGCAGTACGGGTCAGCGTCACTCTTCTCCCGTCCGCTTGCGCAGACTGGCTTTGCTCCGGGTGGTCTACAAATTACGATATCGGCTGGCTGTTCCTTTGCTGGAGACGCGGCATGCCACGCTGCGTCAAAATTTCATCGCTGCGCGGGACGGATATTGATTTCGTGGCGTCAGGATCACGCACTGCGTCCCCAACGATTTCCTCACACTGGGGAGTTGCGCAGAGTTTATTGTATGACACTTTCCTGCGGAGAGGATCCCGACCAACCGCATGGGTCGCATTGGGACTCGAGCAAATGAGCAAATGACTTCCGGTGAATATGGCGTTACCTCCCGGTTGGAAACTAATGGCTGTTACAGGTGAAGCACAGTCCGGATTACAATGGGCTATCCATAGCAGCTCCGTTCCTATAAGCAGGAGGACAAAGGGCACTACACACATAGGACTATTTCGATCTATGACCCGCGATGACTCGATCGTATTCCCGCGGGTGTGCGAACTGTGGGTATCATCAGTCGATGGCTCCCCACTACTGAGTGATAGCAACTTCTAGCTGGTCATTGCACGGTGAGTCTGTTTCTATAAGCAGGGGACAAAGAGTATGTCCGTGATATAGTTGTTCGTCCTGACTCGACTATCTTACCCCGCCCTGTCCGCGCTGTGGGCGCCATCAGCCGATTGCGTTCTGGATTGTTTAACATTGCATTAGGGCCACCGTACACCCATCCACAAGAACTTCCTTCCTATAAGCAGGACACAAAGAGCTTGTATGTGATGCATTACCTGTACTGACACAACTCTGTTCCCACCTTGCTGGCGCCGTGGGCTATATCATCCGACTGCGTTCTGAATAGTTTAGTATTGCATCGGGACCACCGACACCCCTCCACGGCATTCCTATAAGCAGGCCACAAAGAGCTCGTATGTGATACATTGCTTGTACTGACTCGACTTTGTTCCCATTTCGTTAGTGTCGTGGGCAATATAAGTTGATCACTCTTCAGACGTATTAACATTGAATTAGGAATACAGCATATCATCCGCAAGCAACCTGTTTGCTTTAAGCAGAGGACAAAGAGTCTCGTCTCTAATACATGGCTCGTCCTGACTCGACTATCTTTCCCACCTCACGGACGTCGTGGGCAATATCAGTCGACGGCTCCTCAGATGTATCGAACAGTCTCACTGGTAAGGTTCTCCTATAAGCAGAGGACAAAGTGCGCTCCCTCCGCCACATTGATCGTCCTAACTCGCTCATCCTCCGCCTGTACGATCATTTGGCCGGCTCGGCGCTATCGGACTCCTGATCCCTCTCGTGTCTTCAGGTATGTCAAGTCCCATATCTTTACGACAGAACGCCCATGCGCGCAAAGTCGTGCTTACGACAATCCGTAAACCTTGCGCCCCTGCGTCAAGCCGTCCAATTCAGTCCGACTTCGGCTTTCGGACCGAGTGCTCGGTGTCGACGCCGCCATGGCCCAACAAGTTCAGTAAGTGCGCCGACAGATACGTATCAAGGACAGAGGTCAGCTGGTTGGATGCGTAGGGTCGTGCGCTGTTCTCCTTACGGTGGTGGAACGTTGGAACCAGGGCGTAGGCGTCGGTGTTCTGACAGTCCGAAAGATGACATTATTGCACCTGTCCGACTTACCTCCCATGTTTGCCCCATTGGCAAGACTTACACGTCGCCAAAACGAAAGTACTGAAAAGACGTCATGCGCTGTAACTTCATATACCGTCTCTCTTCACTCAGTCACCGCAAGTTCTCTGAACTCACATCCCAACGACGTCCGCACGCTGTCCGGGAAGGAGGTGGCAGTGTGGCATCGCGAGCTTTGATCCCCGCGCTTTCCTCTGGCGCATCTTTGCTTGCCGCATTTCCACTGTCGTGGCTGTCGGCCCCGACGCCCGTCAGATTCGGGACTTAAATCTCGACGTAGCCGCAGTGCGAGGCACGGGACGATGGTCCGAAGGACCCGACGAGATGGCCCTACGGCGCGCAAGAATCTCAGTGCGGATGTCAACGCGACCCTGATGTATTCACCGTCATCAGGATCAGTACAGTATTCTTGCTCCCGGACCAAACGTTGCGTCGCTGCCAAAGAGTCGGACCGGTGTCGCGGAGTAAGCGGTGTGGACTGAAATAAATGGCAGTGTTAATGGTCATCAACTCCGCGGCGAAGCCTGGTATGCAGGCTACATTCAGCAATCCAATTACTTCATGCACAGGCGAAGCCGTTGCACGTGGTGGCGGTCAGCGTCGTATGACCAGGACCAAGGGTTAGGTCAAGCGAGACGTAAGTAGGATTAAACTTGCTGTCCCAGATTTTCCAGAATTTTGCTGCTCGACTGAGTTGCACGTAATGAGGCCTGTTATCATCAATGAACGTGTCCCGTCGGGCGTAGGGTGTAGGGTACGCTCGCGGGGGTTGGGGCGCGTGACTAGCAGAGAGATGCGGTGAGCACGGCAGTTCCGAGTGCAGCACAAGGGGGTTTGACTTTCTAGAATGTCGGAAGGAATGACATGTCAATGAACGCTGAAGTTCAGGTTGAGCGCGAGGGATATGAAGGGGTACAAGGCGGACAGACGCAGCGCGAGGCAGCTTCGTCTTGCTCTGGATTGGAGTGCTAGCCCCAAGCCAGTGGATGGGTTGTTCAGCGACTCGCTCCCTTGGTCTTCCAACAGCGAAGGGTGTACGCTCAATTTCGGTGGCCTTGACGAAGACTCAGTCGTAATCGCTTGCGCACCCCAGCTAACACTCAATGATCAAATAGATTAATGAGAACCAACGAACAGAATCCACGCCGCATCATCATACGGGTGGGGTTCCAACCCTCGAAACAAAGTCCTGCCCACCATGTAGTCGTACCGCCTCACCCCTTCGTCCGTATACTCCGGCGCGTACGGATTATCGGACGCAGGTTTGCACCGTTCTCGCAAGGCCTGCGTCACAAGGTCTCGCTTTTTCTCCGTAAGGCCATAATACTCGTCCCGCGTAAGGAACTGCTGGAAATTCTCGTAAATGCAGTCGAAGACGTCCTCGACTTTGACGCCTCTCGGGTTGTAAATACGAATCGGCCACGGCCATGAGCTGGCCGCATCATCTGCCACAGCTGCTATGACTAACTTCGTGACAAGGGGGAACGTCGCTGGCTGCGCGAGGTCGCCCGGCATCAGCGGTATCAGGTTTTGTGTCTCGGAAAAGGTGATGGCGGTGGGCTCCATGGATATGTCGAAGATGATAGTGGGCATGCCCACAAGACGATGTCGGAGGTACGGGTTTAATTGGAGATCCCTTGGTGGAGGGACGGGGGAACCAGGTCTGGGAGTTTCAAACCCATCCGGGCGGGGAGGTAACGTTGGATGCCCCCGGATGGGTCTCCAGCGTTCCGGATGAGGGGAACCACGAGGACCCCAGAGGTCACCAAATGCATCATCAGGATCTACATCGTCCGATGTAGAAGAAGGCGCTACAAGCGATGATTAGAAGCAGACCCGAATGTTCGACTCCGATATCCTACTCGAGTTGCGAACTATCCCTACACCACGTATGTACGGGCGAGCCCAGTAGCCGTATGCTCTCCATTCCTCTGGCCGAATCAAGCGCCGAGGCGGAGATTCATCCATTTTGTCATTATTAGACTCTGTGTAATGCTGAGAAGCACGCGATCCTTGAAACAGGCCAGATCGGCGTATACCGCGCTTTATGAAGTGCATGGAACATACCAAACATTCTAGTTAATCCTCGCACGAGCCTCTTCAGACGCCTGCGGCGGTGTGCACTACTTTGCGAGGGCGCATCGTCACTTTCTGTCCTTATCATTGTTCCATCTGTCGCGGTCTCCAGAAGTGACGGAGCATCGACAGGAGCAGGTCCTTGCCATGGTAGGCCGTATTCCACGACATGACTTCCGACAGCATAATCAGGTAGACCATGGATAGGCATAGTGGTCGACGGCAAGGGAGAGAGGCATTGTTTCGACCAGCAGGAGACAACGTGTAGTGAAGCAATGTCAGGGGAACTTCGCCGCTGTATTTGGTAAACACAGCATATCGACGGGGCGGCGCAGGCTGTGGTTAATGAAAGAATTCACTGACTTTCGGAGAAATGAACTGGAAAAGCAACAAAGCATTCTTATGACAAGTCATAGGGATGAGGATATAGTACAAGTCGAACAAGGAGATTTGTTGTTAACGTGAGGTCGGCTTCGCCCGAATGATCTCGACGCGTGAGTCCGTTTGCCGGCGACAAATCAAGTAGCCGGGATACTGCCCGGAGGCCAGGCAAGTTGATTTCTACTGCATATAGGTAGAAGCAATGCAGTATATTCTTGGACTCCCAGCTCGAAATACTGTATACAGGCTAAGGTACAATGTATGAGGGGGTGTACATTTAATCCGCAGTAAGTCTCACCACCTGTCTCTTAATTGCGAACATGAAGGTTCACGCCTGACTTGCGCCTTTGATAGAGTAACCATTTTATGGCCAAATGAATAATGGTGAGCGGCTCCATGCTAGACGGCAGTGAATGCATCAGAGCTAATCACGCACGTCAGCCAGAACTTATGACGACATGCTTCAGTCTGCGTCCCCTGCCCTTGACACTCTGCATCTGAAGTCCAGTCCACTGTGATAAATTATTTAATAGCAAGAACGGACCTACAGTTACAAGTTACACTCGGCTCACTGGAAATTTCCACCGGCGACGGATTTCTATTTGCCTTGGAAGTCGTCCCGTATTCGGCGCTTTTCTACCCGGATGCAATAGATGTAATTGCTCTTCCATCGTCTCAGTTACAGCTGCTAATATTCCGTGCGCCTAGGTCCCGTGCGGGTAAAAGCATTACATTGTATATCGCACCGGAAGACTCACCGCACATTCGCTTGTTGTTACCACCTTGTTTCATCTCCCAGGGGACGGCGTGATTCTGCGGCGTTAGTCTGCAATGGCTACAAGTGTGTTTCAGCCAAAGTGCGGCACCTTCCGCCCCTTCCTACCTATGAATGTTGCAACCCACGCAGGCGGTATACGGCTAGTTGCTCCTCCAATGGAGTCCACATGTGTGGACCTCCACTGAAATGCACCAACCTCTAGAGAATTGCGAAATTAGGGTCCCGCTTATCCCACTTGCCGAGTGTGCACAACGTTAGGTGTACTAACCGTTATAGAGTGCAGCCCAGGCTACGGAGATCAGTTATTTCACCGCCGTGAGTCTCACTCGCCTTTGTGGGTGGCCAGATCATGCGTGGACCTACTTGCAAGTGTAATGTCTCAGATGACAATACTGGGTCATCATTTGGAAGGAGATAAGGGGCGAGTGAGAACAGTGGCTCGCACGCATCGGGTGCAATTGATTGAATTGAAAGCCACTCCCTGCAGAAGAGTCAACGGTCGAGGGGAGACTCAGCTATCAACCTACACTGCACGAACGCTCGAGATTATACGCTCCCGATGCAACACCGCATCGTCGCGATATACTTCCGTCTGAAACAAGCCTGTAACAAGATCGGAAAGAGGAGCGCTTAAAGGGGGCGTCTGCTGGAATCGGGGGAGATCTGAAGATCATGATCTCGATACTATCTATGGTCAAGTAGCCGGCGGTGGCATATAGTCACAGGACCCACAACGGGAACGGCCCATGTGCGTACCGCTCCCATGTTTAACTCAGATGCTGGGCCGCGTATTGGAGGACCGCAAGCTCGAGGGGACAGCGCACTTTCCGAAGGAAACATTTTTTCCATATTGCATAGCCCAAGAGACGTCTTTGTCATCCTCTGTCACCCCCCGAGACCCCAATACTGATTCAGGACCAAATGAATTCATTGGTAGCGGTCTGGGCTGCTCGAGATGCCGGACGCAGTCATTCTGCATTAAGCTACTGCCACCGTTCGAAGAACGTCAGCAGTAGCTAAAGTGATGAGAAGGGACGCCACCGGCCTTGAAGGTGATGAAGGACTCACCCTTCGTGTGAACCACTCGGTCATCGGACGACCCCACTCTGCATATTCGATATTCGAGGCAAGGCGTAGGGATGGAGAGACGCGTCTTCTCCATTTTTAAGTAGACGTAGCGTAGCACGACATTTCAGTGAGCTAGAAGTATGCCATACGGCCAGTGACGCATCGAAGGGGAGCCCGGAATGCGGAATGGAGAGGGATATTCAGATAGCAACAGTGGGTGATTTGGGAAGGGGACCAGTCCTGTTGTATCGACGCACCTAGTTATCGTATCATCTAGCCCGCCATCAGCTCTCCAAAGGTACAGGGCGTCCGTAGAACGATATGTGGACGATCACTTGATCCGCGCAGATCAAGCACATGAAATTCCCATACCTGGCCTTCGAGCGCCGATACCTAGCACCAAGTGCGAAGTAGGACCGATATCCATACCAACTGACAGCTAGGGCAAGGAACTATCGCTGCTAGCAGGCGCAGTCATTCAGTCATCGCGCACGTTGCTTTGATCCGTGTTGTTCCATACCAATCGCTCGACAACGCCTCGGCGGGGCGGATAACGGATCAGTTGCTCCAATATCTCCTAAGCGAGCTCGGGGCCAGGATGAAAGGCAGTGAAGACGGTCAGCGGATGGTAAGTCGGTGGGATACCTGATAATAATGATGTAAACCGGGAAACACAAGCCAACTCGAGTTGATGTAAGTTAAGGAGAGCAGTGCTGGCGGTGCTGATCCGAAGAGACATCATGCGTCAACCTTCTAACATCAACTTCAAGTTCCGCGCGCGACCATTACGATGTATCATGATCATACCTGTTGACAATGTAGGAATGTCATCAGTCTGAAGGTGTGCGCGCAGCAGACACCATGGCGTCGGACCGCATGTACCGGATGAAGGACATTTACATACTGGTGCGTTGCAATGACAATCCGAACGCGCCTTGAGGCCTGCCAGTGGGATATACGCCATGCTGTCAAGGTTTTAGAGTTGTTTCCGGAGCTCATGCCGGGAGTAACATTAGCAGCTGTGAGACGTGCTGATCGGCGACGTTGGTGCACCTGTGGGCACTATATCAGATAAAATCTGTCCTGAATAATCCACGGTTAGGCCCGAAATTACCGGTATCAGACGCACGCGGTCATTCACGGAGGAGAATCGTTAGTCGGCAAGCTGGGAGACGGAAGCAAATCCTGCAGTTCATAGAACGAAATTGAGATCACCTACTGCTGTGGCGTTCGACTGAGTGAAGGTCGGTGAAGGTGGACGATAGACGCTCCCCTCGACGCCATGCTTGCAAAACACAGCCACCTCGTACAACTATCCAAGCCATCAGGCCTTGATTACCATTCGCGGCCAGGGGAAGGAGGTGGGGAAGGAGTACGGATGTGTGGACCGGAACTGCCAGAATAGGAAGGTCCAATAGCAGTATGTAGATCGATCGGAAATAGGAGTTTGTGGCCTTGACCGGGTGGAACTCTATCTCTAAGACACGAGGCTCACGACAAAGTATCTGGAAGAACAGGAGCAAGTAGAACGGGAGTTAGGTCCCTCAAGTGCCGCTCTAAATGAACGGCGTATCCCAGCGGGACCAAAACTGAGTCATGGACCGTGTAACGCTGGCCGGGAGAGATGCACAGACTCGTGGGTAGCCGGAATTTGTGGAATGGAAAGGAGAACATTACGTCCCGTAAAAGGCAGCACGGGACTTTATCGTAAATGCATCGAGGGGAGATAACGCGACCTCGCGAGTCAGCGGGACTGTACCGTTGCGCTGGGCACAAGAAGTCGGATCCGGGAAGCCGGCCTCCAAGATTCGTCGCCTGGTGGGTGGTTAGAACAATAAGACAGTCTCAGATAGTCCAAGACGCTTGTTTGTGAGTTATTTGGCGCCGTAATGGAGGGTTTCCCTTCTCCGGCCCATTTCGGGCACTGGTACCTCGAAAACTCCGATTTCAGACTGCACAATGTGCGGGTTCACGAAGAGATCTTACGGAATCGAGGGACTCGTGCTACGTTCGGCGGAACCCTGGGCCCACCCATTCGGTCTTAGCTATAAAGGAGTCGGGTCGTATTGTGTTGCTTTTTGTTGTCGACCTCTGCGCAATTGTTGGCTATCCTCGATCGGCTCCCTCCAGACAAACAGGGTGTTCCACACCTGAGCCACGCTAGGTCATCCTATCCAGCTCCTGGAGGGAAAAGACGCGTTCTTCCTGGCATCGAGCGAGCCCAACTTCTTCCTAATTGTTATTGCATCCTTTATCCTGTAAATATGCCTGCACGACGCACCTACGATGTACAATCACAATGTGAGCGGGTTCTCGACAAGCGCTGACGCCTTCCTCCCACTCACCGTATCGATGATACAGCCCTCGAAGTGACGATAGACACTCCACAGAACCCGAAAGTCGCCATCATCTCCCCGACGCCACAAGCATTCACCTTCCCTACCAGCAACGACACTCCCTACTCCCCGTCTTCGTCTCCCTTCGAATCCCATGTCAGGCAACCGACGCTCTCTTACACGCCCTCACCGCCACCTCTCGTTCGTACCATGTCCCCCACTTCTCCCTCCTCATCAATTTCGTCCGCCGCTTCTTTCCCCGCCACCCCTCGCACCACGCACAAGCGGAGAAAGTCCACCAGCGAAGCCGAGCGACGACCGAAGAGAGGCGACGAAGACTACATCAAGCGGCCCGAGAACGCGTTTATTCTCTTCCGTCGTAAGTGCGTCGAGGAGCGGCAGGCTGAGACGTCTTCAGCTGCAGCCGCAGCGGCGGCCGAAGGCGCTGGCGTTCCCAAGAAGCAGCGTCAGGCCGTGTTATCGAAGCTGATCAGCCATCAGTGGAAGAGCTTGTCGCCAGAGGAGCGGCTGTACTGGGAAGACCTGGCCAAGCAGAGAAAGAAGGAGCACGAACAGATGTATCCCGACTACGTCTATCGTCCACAGCGCACGAAGGACCGGAAGAAAAAAGGGCTCAAGACAAGGCGGATTGCCGGTACCCAAGAGGAAACCGCAGAACCGGAAGCGCCACAAGACACCGAGCAGGCGACATCGACGCCGACACCGACGCAGAGTATATCCAGACGTCGCTCGCAATCAACGCCAGCTCCACCAGCCACCCTACCTCCGTCGGGCGTCGAGTACGCGATGGATAGTCCTTCAGCAGTGCCACAAGCAGATATGCACGTCGATCCGTACGGACCAAACAGTCAAGGCATGGCGTGGCCACCAAGTATCTTCCTGGATACTTCGTACGGGCCCCCTGATATGATGTACAACGTGAGTACTTCGTATCAATGCAGATCGATCTGCTTACTGACTTTCAAATACAGCCCGGACCCTTGGGCGATTCTATGTTCGGAATGCCAGCGCCTGCGAATGACGCGAGCTTCCAAGACGGCACCTTCAATCCCCTTTCCGTCTGCACTGATCCGTCCCTGCTCATGGCGCCCAACGGCTTCGCATCACCCGTCGCATCCTGCACATCTTCCACGTCCGACCTCGTTTCTCCTTTGGATGAGACGTTCTCGCTCCCCGGAATGGCGGGTAACTTCCCACTGCCGAACGAAATGTACTCACCTGTCGTACATGGCCCGGAGTCCTATGTGCATGACGGCTCAAAGCCGGATTATGCCATGCAAGCGTTCCAGTACGCGCCGTGCTGGCAGGATCCTTCTCTATTCTCCTCGAACGAGATGTTATTCTCGTCCGACTTCGACGTCAACAATGTTCCGAGCGTCGAACTGGGCTTGCCAAAAATGAACGAGAACTCAGTCGCCTTCCCCTCACACTACGGCAGTCTGGACGGTCAAGGTCAATACACCGAGTTCTCGCAGCCTGGCCAGCATCACAACGCGGACGCCATGGGCGGACCATACGCAAGGATATTTCACGACTATCACGACGACACGGGACACTATTGAACTAGCAATGCATGCTGGCGTCCATTGAGTATTTATTTGTATGGATAGTTGTAAGTTCTCACGTACGTTTGCACGGGCCCTCCCAGTTGTATTTCTCTTTCTCTTTATTCTGGAGTATGCCGCGTCACCCGCCGTTGTAACCGTAGCACCACCCTTTCCCCTCCTCCCTGCATTCTCTCGGGCTCCTTAGATTTTCCCCGCCCGCACCGTCCCCAATGCCTCACGCGTCATACCCCATTCGGATATACCCTCATTGCTTGACGACCTCCCCTTTCATAGTATTTATGCCACGTGTACGTACCTTGCGACACCCATACACTTTCCGGGGATTTACGACCAATACACAAAATTGATGAAGCAGAAAACGTAGTGGAGGGCAGAGCCAGCAGAGTACGAGGCTTGCCTGTGCGAGGCTGCCAGTATATTTGAGCTGCAAAGGACAAAGGAACGTCCTGTTCGGGAAGGACCGCTAAGTGCCGCGTCCCACCACGTTCCCGAAACAGCTCAAACTTCGTATTCTTCATGCTAGAAGAGAAGGTCGCACTCGATACTTGCTAAATTCAGCAGGAGGCCCAGAGATTTTCTGTTGTGTAACGAGATGACAACGCCGTGCAAGAAACTGGGCGGCGATCCAATGAACATCAATCTGAACTCCGGCAACATATAGGTCAAGCAAGAAGCACAGACTCGGAGCCCGCCTGGCGCGTTCTAGAGACGTGTTTTCGCCCAACCAGGGAATATAAAGGGTTGAAGAAAACCTAGAGGAGGACCTCAGGGCTGCGCAACGTTCATGGTTCACGCTGAGTCGTTCAAAAGTGAGAAGGCTTGAAGCTTGAACGCTGATATACGAGATCTTGCAGACCAGGGACCTGGCAATCCGGAAGAGCGCGCTGCGCGACTGCAGTAGGTGCTGAAGTATTCAACTTTGATTGCCACTGCGATCAGAGCATCGTAGCGCTGGCTATATCCATGGCAGGGCCTGGAGCCAAACCAGAAGGGCAATAGGATTCCTCTGCCAACGTTGTGATGCAGACTTTCCCTGCATAGGTGCGTAATAAATAGCTTGTCCTCCTGTGCGCCGTCTAGATCTAGACTTGTATTCATAAGTAGAAGACTCGGATGCTGCCGAAGCCGCAGTAACTTCACAGGCAGCTGTGGTCCTCGTTTGAGCTTTCCATCGCGTACCCTCACTGCTCGGGTCTGCTGTCGAAAGCCTCTGTTGCACTGTAAGGTGCCCATCATGACGTTCAATATGAGGCGTTCAAGAGCAGATGCTGCGATCTCTACCACGGCGGATCTCTTGAGTAAATTGAAGGATCTGTCGGATGCTGTACCCGTCCCATATGTCAAGATGGCTTTCTCGGCGGCGTCTGCTATCTTCGATATGCTAGATGTGAGTCGGAGTGCGAGGATCATATAACTAGCCTGATGTTCCGCAGACTATGAGCGGAAATAAAGGAGAATGCGCGCGTCTGAAGAAACAAATCGAGGATATGATCCAGATGCTCCTCGATCTGTCCCCGCTGACCGTGTGCATCTTGAGCACTTCCACCAAATCTCATAGAATCATAGATGAGCTACAATCGTGAGTATTGCAAAGGCTCTGTTGGAAGTCTCACCTGGAGCGGGATGTCCAGGACGCTGTTACACGTTCAGAAGTGTCTGAAGAAGATAACGGGACGCAATGCTTTCACCAAATTCGCGCTGTCAAAGAGTATCGCGAAGGATCTCAGCGACTGCCGTGAAGATATCCAAGATGTCATCGCCAAGATGCAGGTAGGACAAGTGGCATTCTAGCGATCCACGCTTACCGCAATGGAGGTTTACGTGACTAGCAAACAATACCTGGAGTACGGGGAGCACGCCGCTGGTGTAAAACGGGTTGGAGTAAGGATACAGCACAGCTTTCAAATACCAGTTTGACTGACCTGAACACAGCTGAGCGATATTCAGCGCCACCGCGTATCGCGTTCGGGTGAATATGAGGACGTAACCGTCTATGACTCAAGAAAGGCTGTCATGAAAGTGTACTCCCAGCAGGACATGGTATGCGACAGTAACGTCTTCGAGCAGAAAGGGTCTGATGGCAGCCAGTTTGTCGAGGACTTGAAGTTTTATCTTGACAACAAGTAATCCACCCAGAAACACATCTTGGATCAAAGTTTAATCATCTTTCATCTTAGAGAGGCGTACCTCCTTCAAGTGTTTGGATATTCCGAATTCTCAGAGAAGGCACAATGGATGCTTCTTTTCCATGGTGTGTCTGTGTTTCTACCATGTTTCCGACTGGAACTGTGATACCTGATAGATCCCGGAGCACCTGCTCAAGCATACATAGCTGAGACGTATCGCAGAGAATCCCCGCGGGAGTCGACCTTAAAGACTCTGGCCATGGTCCGTAAGCCGACCTTGGCTATCTTATTCCATCATGATGAATGCTGACTTTGAGTATAAGATGACTGAGCTACTGGTCCGTATAACATCGCTGTAAACCAGGTCTGGTGTTTCAACGACGGCTGCGCAGCAATCGGCTCAACATGTCTTGAAGAATGGTTCCGGCGGCTGTATCTTTGATGTCAGTTCCGTCTATGATGCTGCCTTTTACTATCCTGATGACTGCACATTAACAGACGGCTCAGGTTCGATACCATACATCTCATGGTAGCATAGTCCTTGCAGACTGGAACCCGTCGAGAGCCTACCCCAAGGACTCCTCTTCGGAAGTGAAGACAGTCGTCTTGTGGGATTCCTTTGTGAAGCTCATGACCGAGGTATGATCATCGACGCGTCTCGAAGCACTGTGTACTGATGATTCGAGCTCTGAAGTCGTTGACAGGCGATCCGTTACAGCCGACTCATGTACACGGAGAGTATAGTACGTAGTCTCGTACTCATTGTTTGCTCTACAACGATGATATGTTCCTAGGCAAGACTGGTGCATATGTCAGCCGCGCCGTCAAGCACTTTGTGCATCTGCTGTGGAATTACCGGTACCAGTATAAGACAGCCGACATCGACGGACTCTTCCGACAGCTCATCGAGGCTGTCAATCAGCTTCGTCGTTCTGTCGAGGATTCGCCAGATTCGGGAGGGGTCAACCCTCTTCTCCTCGCCCTTCTGCAGTACCAGCCCCTGTCGGCGTCGGTATGCAGCATGTGGGATATATATGATGATGTGGATATCGAACCGGGTGATGTCGGGTACATGTATCGTGACAAGGAGAGCAAGAAGCTGGCCTTCCAACGGATCACTACGCTCCAAACGCTGGTGGAGGAAGATCCGACCATGGATAAGCGAGTGATCGCTCAAGTTAAGAGACAGCAGGCGCCTCTCCTGTACTTTCCGGACGCAGATCCAAGTCCTTGGGATTCCGTAGAATTATCGGACGGACTGACACGGTAATGTACTTGCCACGATTTATTTACTTTTTGACTTAAACACCCATAAGCTATACCCTCCGCCTACGGGATTGCACCTACACCCGGAAGGTTGGTGTGAAGCTGGGCACAGATCGCGCTAGCCTAAACACCCGGTTTGACTATCCTTGGTCTACTGTACTTCTCATGGCGGAGCGACTACAGCAGTACGCTGATCAGTATAAGATCCACGTATCTGATATAATGCTGAGTGAGATCTATCCCACATATCCGTTCGACTTTCTCTGACGGGTAATATAGTATTCAACCGCGGCCGTGCAGAGCGTTATTCTCATATAACATTTGCTGAGAGCCACCAATACATCAATGGCTTGTGTCAGGCAGCAGAGAAGGCTGGGTTCCACAACGATCTGCTCTATTACTTTGACACCCCCAATGTCTCCCATGGGCAACTGGAAGGTTACTGGTCCATCGATCCCGAGCCAGGACACCCTTTATGGCCGCCATCACTTGATGAAAGTGGAACGCCCTGGGGTTGGGAACACGCCGAACCTGGCCTAGGGCTCAATGTAGAGGTGTCACGGTACGTATATCGTGGAGATATCGGTGGCAGTTTCCGTTGACGGTTACTGCAGGAAAGGAACACGCATGCGAATGCGTTATTTGCATCTCTGACTTCCGTCTTGACATATTCTTAACACAAACGTACACACTAGTACTCTTGTATTGCAAGGATCTTTCTTTGAGGCTGAAGAAATAGGCAGGTCACGGTGTGGCAGTTAGCCCTAAATAGGAAGGTGCCGTTGCCAGAAGCTCAGACTTCATCTACATTCAGACGTGTTGTCAGATAGGGCGCAACGGGCTAGAAGCCTTGCGTTCAAGCTTGCCATGTCCCCTGCTTTAGCATCGATAGTGGACAAATGTATCCGTGGGGCATCTATTTCTGCTATAGCATTCATATCTTTCAATTTTCTTGTGGGATTCGAGCAGACTTTCAATATATCTTCACTTCACCTGACCGGGTATCTGCTTAGTATTCTGTGAGTCGAACGTCAGACTACTGGCATATATGTGACTGCTCAGCAATTTTTCCTCAGGTTCGCGTTGCACGCGTCTGTAACGGGCACGGCGGTTGCGAGGACCGCGCTCGAACACCTAGGACCAGAACGCGCGGCGAACGAGGCGCAGACGGACAAGGATGAACAGGAAGGTGTCAATTACTGGCCACACGGGGCCACGAAAGGGCTACACCTTTACAGTGCTCGCTAAGCGACCAGGCAGACGATATGACACAAGATACGCCACCCTCACCAGACTCCGGATCGGACGAGGCGGTGCGCGAGTTGCGAGGCATCGCCGCCGCAGGATTGGGATTCAAGAATATCGATAGTGTGACGGCCGATGATATACGAGCAACTCGCGCGGCCCGGACCGCCTTGAGGGCTAAACAAAATCCTGTACCCCCTCTCACTGCCATTCAGCAAGAGATTGCCGAGGGCGAAGTTCTGTACGCGTCAGGACTCCGCAAAATGATTAAACTAAAGAGCAGTCGCGTTCTCAAGCACGGCATTGATGCTCAAGTAGCGGCTGCGGAGGTTGCTGCTATGAAGCTCATTTCCGAGCATACCACGGTGCCCATCCCTGTAAATCCAGAACACATTGTCGACGCCGGCCGGAGCTACGTGGCTACGGATTATGCGGAAGAACAGGTTCTTTCCAAAGTCTGGGAACACCTGCGCGACGATGAGAAGGTCACAATCCTTGGTGAACTCAAAACATACGTCAACCCACTCCGATCGCTGGAGCCGCGGCCGCCTGGTTACATTGGATCCCTCAACCGTGATCAATGATGGGACTGCAGAATGCTTGCCTTTGCCTGCGGGCCCTTCGACTCGGAGGCTCAAATGAATGATCATTTGGTGTCCGTCCTGACGCACATAGCCTTTTGCAGGAAGTTTCTACGACGGAGCACGCTGATCAGTATAGGATTCACATATCCCATATCATGCTGAGCGAGATTCGAGTCGTTCATGAAAGCCACCAGATTATGGAAGATATGTTTCAAGCAGTGACGATGACGGGGTTCTATGGCGACTTCCTCTATTACCACACTTCCAACGTCTCTCATGAGCTAGTAGAAGGCTACTGATCTATTTTTCATAGAGAGTCTACTCTTGGGCTAAATGTGGAGGTCTCGTGGTGCGTTCATCTACGTAAATAGCCTCGTCCTGAACTGACGTTGATCATAGCCAAGGAACGCATGCGCGAATGCGTTACTTGCATATGTGACTTGGATCTAGACTTGCAACATAGCTTGTGTACAGATCCAGCATCGCATAGCCTTGGCAGAAAACGTCGGTAAGCTTAAGTGCAAGGAGTACATGGAACTTTCTGTCTGTACACAGTACCGGAAGTCAGAGTAACTGAATTTGTGAGATAGTGACGGAACACAAATACAACAAGGAAGCTTTCTTTGTGCTAACTCGGCGATGAAGCGCTTGTGTGGCATCCGGTCGACTATTCTGAACCATGGATTAGTAATTCGGTGGCGATGCGTCTGAGTGAAACTAAATACCTCATCGACGTGCATTCCGCAGGAGCTGGGTCAAGGTACCTGCCGCCCCTTCATCGCAAATCCCGAGATCCTCGAGCCTGCGAACCACGGCGGTGATGTAGGATTGGCAGTTCCAGTCGTCACGTCTGTTGTCGACAGAGACCTTGCGCTTGATGCATCCGACGAGGTCGTCAACTTTATCCGCATCTACCTGGCCGACCTCTACCATCGCGAGGAAGCTGCTCGAACTTGCCGGATTCCGATGCGGGGTAACCTTGACTTCCCAATGGCGAGGAAACCCGTCTACTTCGACAGGCGTCCCATACAACATTGATTCATCCTCTGCAATCCAAAGAACCCAATGGTTCCTGGCGTCCCTCTGGCTCGCCTGGAATTCCACGACGTAGATATAGGACTGCGGGCTCGACGACCTGTAATTATGTTATCAGGCGGATAAAATGATAGGGAAAGGTATGGAGACCCATTCAGACATCTGAAGACAAGGTATCAGCTAATGCTATCGTACCAAGGACTGAGAATGCTACTTTATACTCCATGGCGCCGGGGCGAGTATCGCGAGATAGCTGTTCAAAATAGGACTGATATGAAACAGTACGAATCATGGTCGGTCGCGCCAACGAGTCATTACCATTAGTGTGGGACAGGCATCAGGAAGAGTGGGAGTAAGAACAAAGCCTTTCGTCAGAATTATCCAGCTCGGGCATAGCGGCGACCTCACCTTCCTCTACCGCGAGTTCTTGGGATATAGCACATGTTTGTCTGAAGGGTCAGAACACCACCCAGAGGAGATGTCCGTTGCTGTGCGGGATGTGTTCCGACTCGATAGTAGCCCAATACCACTTCTCTGGCGATAGAATCCGCGAGAATGCAATACCCTGGCGCTCTGCATTCTCCATGCTTGGGGTGTTATCCCTCCATGCACAGGGAGTCACCGCCGCGTGCTCCTTACGGATGCTGGCCCAGCATAGCATATCATAACTGAAACAGACCATATCTCAGTCCAGCTAGAGGCACGGACGAGATTCCCGCTTGAATATGCAGCGTAGCCTGAGTATAGCGTCCATATCAGCACTGCCAAATTTTTCCAGATAGGCAGCGGTGGTCCGAGGAGCCCGAGTAGAAGTCAGAAGGATGTCAAGCGAACCGTATAATGCCTTGGAGGGATTAGTAAGCAGTTTCAGAGCGGGTGAAGGCCCCAGGCCTGGTGCGGGAGCCGCAGCGAGTGCTTCTCAATGCTAAGGAAGCTGTACACCTATCCGGAAAGTCACCAGATTAGTTGGATAACAATCGTTCGAGTCATAAGAACCCACTCAGTGGGAGTCGTGCTGGAATCCCAACCTAGGCTTGGAAAATATTTGACGGCAGCTCTTCAGCTATCTACATGCGGAACGGTCTTGCGTAAAGCAACTTGGGATCGCCGATAGATCATACGTCCATGCTTAAGAAGGCCGTCTTCGCGGCTCCGGACTTGTGTGCGAGGTACAGGATTCGGCTTGTACGGAAGTTATTCCCGAATAGGAAGGTGTTCAAGTTGAACCACGAAGAGGTCAAACGTTCGCTGTCAGCGTGCTTGCACTTTCAGAGCTTCCAAGATTACCAACGAGGCGTACGCCTGATCTCAGTGCTTGCTGCTACTAGTCATGTTCCCCGACATAGCATGGATATTGGACAGATGCCGTGACGTGTCCGAATGCAAGACGCGTGGAGCAGCGTCGATGTCCGCCTTAGTTTTCGTGTCTCTGCATGTTCTTGCAGGACTGTTTCAGATCTTCCACTTTTTTTCTTGGTATTCATCGGGTTTTTCACTTATTGCTTTGTGAGTCAGGCTTCGAATTGTCTATAGTTGTGCTGAACGGTCTTGTCCTAGGTTCGCCTCGTACGCATCCCTCGTGATGCTGGGTTTGTGGAGATGTTATGAGTCCATGTCCTTTCTACATTGCGAGAGGCTGCGCAATCACCCTCCTGAACGTCTCCATCAGGTATGGGACTGGTCCATGGATTCTCCTTTGTATTGACATCGTTGCTGTATGGGACCGTCCAGGACCCGCCACACCTCCACGCCACACGCGGCCGCAGAGGCGCCCCATCTTCGCTGTACTTGCCCAGCGACGATGCAGGCGATACGACACAAGATACATCACCCTCAGCGAGCCTCCTATCGGACGAGGGGGTGCGCGAAATGCGAGCTATCGCCGCGGCGGGATTGGGATTCAAGGATATCAACAATGTCACAGTTCATGAAGTACGAGCAGCTCGTGCGGCCCGCGCAGCCTTGAGGGCCAAACAAAATCCTGCACCTCCTGCCACTGCTCTCCAACAAGAGATTGCGGAGGGCGAAGTCTTGTACGCATCAGGACTCCGCAAAATGATTAAACTAAAGAGTGACCGGGTCCTCAAGCACGGCATTGATGCCCAAGTAGCGGCCGCGGAGGTTGCTGCCATGAAGTTTATTGCGGAGCATACTACGGTTCCCATCCCTGGAAATCCAGAACACATTGTCGACGCCGGCCGGAGCTATGTGGCTACGGATCATGTGGAAGGACAGGTTCTCTCCAAAGTCTGGGAACACCTGCGCGACGATGAGAAGGCCACAATCCTCGGTGAACTCAAAGCATACGTCAACCAACTCCGATCGCTCGAGTCGCCTGGTTACATCGGATCCCTCAACCGCGACCAATGCTGGGACTGCAGAATGTTTGCCTTTGCCTGCGGCCCCTTCGACTCGGAGGCTCAAATGAATGATCATTTGGTGTCCGTCCTGACACACGTAGCTTCGCCTTTTTGCCGGAAGTTCCTAAGACGGATGATGCGGGAGGATCACAAGATTGTCTTCACCCATGCCGACCTCCATTGGAGGAATATCATCGTAAAGGACGGTCACGTCGCTGCTATCCTAGACTGGGAGATGGCAGGATGGTACCCCGAATACTGGGAATATTGCAAAGCGCTGTACAACGAGAGATTCGAGACGGAGTGGTGCACGCGGGTACAGGATTTCCTCGAACCTTATCATTATGAATATGCGGTGGATAGATTGCTGCGCGCAATGAGTCCAGTGTGGTAGTGCAGTAGTACCGACACGTTTATACTGTTTGTGTCACTTTATAATTATTTTCCTACCAGCAAGTCTCTCAATGTTGACACATGGCACATGGGCTGCAATACTATTAGTCGTCATCGAAGGTTCACACTGACGTTAGGGCCTGAAAACGAGTTCGAAGTGGTCGAATGCAGGTCGGCGAAGGATATTGTGTCTAGATGCTCTAGGCACAGGAATTATATCCAGCTTCCCTGGTAATACGTGTTCAGTAAATAAAAGGCCAGGTTTCGTGAGATAAGGATCACATTAGTCAAATAAAAGCAGCTCAGCTCGTCTATGTAGGAAATGACCGATATGTAGTGAACAAGCGGGCGAGGGTGTTTGACCTCACGAGATGTATGATGCACAAGGACGCCACCAGATACTCGTCGTATGGCAAAATATCATCCTCTCGCGCGTTCCGTTGCGTTACATGTGCATGAGGCGCATCCTGGACGTTCTACTCATGGGATGCAAGAAAATGAGATGAAGCCGCGGCTGTCACGAAGCAGTGAACACGGGAGCAAACCTAACTAGGAAGTTGTTGCAACGACGCTGTCGACGAGACGTCGTCGTCCTTCAAAGCTCTGAGGGCCGCCGAAACGTCGTCGTCGCGCCCCTGACTCTATCAGTGCCACCTCGATGTTGCCTCTGTTGTCTGGAACGGAGACCGTGTCTCAAATCCATCGGTGGTTCCCGGGCCTGCGGAACTATGCATTTTTCAAAGACAACATTCATCGTGTGGCGTCGATCTCTATCCTAGCCATCATACCTTTCCATTTCTTTGCTGGATGTATCACGGTATTTCGATGGTTTTCAATGCTTTCATCGGGGGTTCTGCCAGTCGTGCTGTAAGTAGATCCCCAATAACCTTGTATAGCCGCTCAGTGGATATCGTCACCAGGTTCGTTTTGTACATCAGTGTGTCAATGCTGGGTATAAGGAGGTATTATGAGCGTGTACTATCCCGGACACTCACAAAGATTAGTTCACGGGACGGGCGAGACGTGAGTTGATTTCCCTGTTCATTTTGATTTGCGACCGTGACGCGTTTGTTTCAGAGGACCAGCGTTGCCTCTCAATGCCTCCACAAATCTCACGATGACGAGAAATCCGTATCCTCACCGCCTTTACAAAGTTCTGAGGAGGGCGACGTGATTGAAGAACTGTCACCCTCCGCGCGGACCCGCAGGGATGCTGCACGACGCAAGATGCGAGCAATGATGGCAGACTCGCAGGCTCAGTCAAGCGGCAGGGAGAGCATAGATTCATCCGCCACTCTTCTCCAACAGCAGATTGCAGAGGGCGAAGTTCTACAGGCGATCGCATTACGCAAAACTATCAAGCTGAAGAATGGTCGCATCCTCAGGTGTGGCACTGCGTCGCACGCAGCAGCCACAGAGGTTGCCGTTATGAAGTTCATCGCAGAAAACACGACTGTCCCCATCCCTGGTAACCCTGAATATATCATTGATGTGGGCCGGAGCTACGTCGTACGGGACTATGTGGAAGGTCAAGTCCTCTCCAAAGCTTGGGACCATCTGCAAGAACATGAGAAGGCAATGATCATAGCGGAACTGAAAGGTTATGTAAACCAGCTCCGGGCACTCAAGCCTCCTGGTTACATCGGATCCCTCGACCGAGGCCGCTGCCGGGACTGCAGAATGTTCAGCATGTCCTGTGGGCCTTTCGATAACGAAGCTCAGTTTAACAACCACCTGGTCTCGGTCTTAAGGACGCACTTAGCTTCTCCCATCTATCGGATGTTCTTGACAAGGATGATGCGGGAGGATCACAAGATTGTCTTCACTCATGCTGACCTTCACTGGAACAATATCATCGTCAAGGATGGCCACGTCGCAGCCATTGTGGACTGGGAGATGGCAGGATGGTATCCTGAATACTGGGAATACTGCAAAGCGCTGTACAACGAGAAATTTGACACGGACTGGTGTATGCGGGTTCGGGATTTCCTAGAGCCTTATGATTATGAATATGCTGTTGACAAGCTGCTGCTTGCACTAAGTCCAGCATGGTAGTGCAGGTAGAGTGATGTGTGCAGGTCTTGCTTTGTTATATAGTGATCTGTTCTGAGATGTCCCCAGAGCATGTCGGTGATAAGCCTCAGGATCGTCTGACCCCCGAAAATGCGGACTCAGCACATCGTACAAGCCCTCCGGAGCTTATTCGACACAGCACTCACACGCCACTAGGCTTCTATGGGCTCTAAAGAACTGCTCTATTTAGCTCCGGACTTCCTAGCATCCTCGAGGCGTACACGGACCCATTCCGCGATTTATCTCCGCAAACAGGAGCTCCGGAGCGACTTAACCAACGCAACTTCTAGATGAATTAGCTCCGGGGCCATGGGCACTTCTATCAAGGGGCATCATCCTCATGCCCACCCTCCAGCACTCACTCCCCCTCGTTTCCGTCAAGATACCGAAGGTGCGGACGCATACGAGTCACCATGAGGCCAGCATCAGTCAGCAAGCGGCCGGAGGTAATTAGCACGTGACCGGAGTGTCGCACGGAGTGATGGGACCGCTTGGGTCAGGTGGTGAAGCGTCGAGGCGACCTATAGGGGCTGGAAAGAGCAAGTGGGAGCGCAAGAGAGTTGTATGGTATATGGTATAGCGGAGGAAAGTGCTGAGCAATCCTGTGGGTAGCGGCGTCCATTTGTTATTTATCTCCGAACGGTCGCAAAGCCATTCCTGTAGTATAAATTGTACAAAGTAGCATACAGAAAAACAAGTTTCGACTTCACCATCTCAGAGAATTAGCGTTACGATCTCAGCGACCCGAGAAGTTCGAAAGCGTCGAACCTAGCGAATTATAACCGATCCTAGCTTTGCCAATAGGCCTGACTCGTCGAGTGAATTATCTCCGCCATCAATTCAATTAGCTCTGGTGAGTCTCACATAGCGGAATAAAATTAAACAAGTCCTTTTAGCGTTTTCTACTCCCGTGGGCCCAAACCTACACTCGGTTCCGTGGTTTGCGACTTTATTTGCGACTTTTCGGAGATAAATACTCCGGAGCGTCCACTAGTGTTTGTTTCAGGTGTCCAGGTTTTTGTTTTATTTTTCTAGGTCTTCCTACGGACTACCCTACGGCGTCTTACTCCTCCTTTCCCCCTCGAACTATTAAATACCCTTCAGTTGTCTCGGACCGCCTTCACCCATATCACGGGGTTTAGGTTTATTCATTTTGGTCCTTGGTGATTGTTGTGTGTCAGTGCATATCATCGGTATCTCCCGACTGAACACCAAACACTTGCAATTGGCTCCTGTGTTTCTTTCGACCATCCATCCAGCATCTTATGCCACAGCCGCAATTTACCACACCAGTGCAGAAGAGGTGAACTCAAAAAATGCTGAAAGCTGTCGGCAGCTTGACCCTGTGTATTAGTTGAGCTTGAGTAGTAGTCCATACAAATTATTGTATCATGGCATGTTGCTCTTATATCTGTGTTTGGCCTGTTGGCATTGTGCTGTTCCCTGATGCTGAGTTCTGCAGTGGTATTGTAGTGTGGCCACAGTGGCTGGAACCGGCCTATGCCGGGTGGGAAAATGCATTTTGAGGTCCCAGAAACCCCTGCAGAGCAGGGGCATTTCATTCCAGGTGCATTGCATACATTTTGTTGAAGCAACTATGTGCTGTGCTGATAAGTCTCTGAGGTCCAACGGATTCAAGAGCTGGTTCAAGGCAAGTCCTCATCCAGCAGTGGCACCACTAAAGCCAAACATGACATGCCGTGATGTGCCGGTTGAAAAGTGCTCCGCATATTGGGGGTGCCAGAACCCTCCCATCTGGACTCTGGATAACAGTGGACCTGTGTGTTACTGGACGGTCTGTTCAACAAATGTGCCTGGATATCCTGGTGTGTACCGGAATACAGTATATGGGGTCAACAGATTTTTTTCTCCTACCATAGAAATAGGGTAGTTCACCTGGTTTTCAAGGAGCCTATCCTACACTATAGTACCGTGAAATCTAGACGGAGCTGCGCTATTTTACCAGTACACTTGTGAGTGAACTCGGGTGACTAGAGGCTCTTGATCTCGGTTTCACTAACTCAATGGCAGGGTACAGTCATCTACTACTGAGCTCAAGGAAGAGCACTCCATGCTGATAGTGCAGTGTTCTATGAAGGGATGGCTGGATAAGTATCCGTTCGAGGATTAGAGAGAGCAGGACCATAGAAAAGATGTGATGTCAATATCTGTGAGTATGTTTACAAAAGGTGTCCTCGGGAGCGCAGGTGATTGGGGTGTAGGGGAAACACAGATGGACTGGACGAGAAATAAGGGTCTGCTCTATGGCGGTGGACTTTGCATTAAGGCACATACAGTAGGACTGGAGGAAATAACGGGTAGGGAGAATTAGGTGCACTCTGAATAATTCATCTTGGACTTCAAATAAATTCAGGTACACTCTAGGATATCACAGGTAGGGAGTGTGCACCATTAGATGCCCCAAGACTAGAGGAAATATCGGGCACGACATGAATATCATTCGTAGGAAGGGATTTACTGGTACTGTACCCGGGAAACGCAGGGGTGTTCGGCAAACAGGACCCCGATGGTCGGGTCATCTAAGGAGGGGCATTTAACAACAATCCCCGGTCTATTGCACACCTTCGCTCCGACGCCAGAAGATCAGGGTCTCGAGTCATCCCCCATCACGTCCTCAAGGCTCAGGCTGAATGCACGGCCCAATGTAGTCTCAACGTCCCTTGGCGAGGGGACTTCGAGGAACGGATGTGGCGTCATAGACATGATTGCTTCTCATCAGGAGTGCAACGGGTACAGAGTCGGTACGGAGGTAGGACATGACTGGGATTAAGGGTTCTGCGGCCCCCGCACAGAGTTGGCGACCGTCCCAGGGCGTTGGAGGCCCACAGCGTAGACGACGTCACGAGAACGAGGACGTACTTACTACAAAGCCCCGGACATCAAGCTCACTACGGATGTTCGCATAAGCCCTATATTTTCATGGGGAAGGCAATCATGCATGTATAAGAAAACAGAGATGCGACATAAACAGCCATCCTCGCAGCACTCCCATCCTCCGACAACACGCCCACTTATGCGATAAGTGTGGATGCGGTGGCGGAGTCGTACTTGAACGTGGGGGGGATCTGCTGCTTCGACTTGTAGTAGCGGGCGAGGCGGTGGATACGGGACTCGATGAGGATAAGGCGGAACTTGCCGTCCTTGTCCTTGCGGTTGGTCTCGAGGTGCTTGCGGACCGCGACGGCCTTCTTGACCAAGTGCCACAGATCCTCGGGGATCTGGGGGGCCAGACCTATTCGAGATACCGCGTACATTGGAAAAGGAGAAGACACGGACGGCATAGCTACGCACCTTGGGTCTTCAAGATACGGAGTATCTTGTTACCCGTCACGAACCGCACTTGGGGGATACCATGGGAGTCCCGGAGGGTGACACCGATCTGGGAAGGCGTAAGACCCTTACGGGCGAGCTTGATGATGTGCTCGACGACGTCCTCGGGGGTCGTCTTCAGCCACGACGGCGGCGCGCGGCGGTAGGGGAGCGCGGAGGACGCTGGTCAGCGAGTATCCGTTAGCACATCTTGCGATGAACCTCCGAATCTCTGGTAAACATACAGATGCCCTTTCCGGGAGCGTGCATACGACCCATGGCGGCTCTGTCGGGCGGTCAGCGCTGCTCACGACGGCGACGAGAACGGCAATACGCACGATTTTTTGAGAGCAGACGGGCGGCTTGAGTGTCTTGAGGGGGATGAGCGTCGTCCGAAGCAATGAGCGCGCGTGCGAACTCCGGGGGCCCGGTGGCTCAGCTACTGTATAGTTGCAGCCCATATCGGGTAATCAGCCACCGGCCGATACTCGCTCTACACACACCCCGCGTTACTGGCGACAAAATCCGCAAGACTCTCGACGCTGCTGCCGACGACGCTGACAAGGCCGGGCCTCGACTCTCCCCAACATGAAGCTTAACATCGCCAGTGAGTTTCTGCGTCTCGCGAGCTGTAATGGGCGAGGCCTGATGAACATGGGATGTAGACCCTGCCACCGGGCAGCAGAAGCTCATCGACATCGACGACGAGAAGCGCATGTACGAATGATGTGCTCGCTCATATTGAACGTCTGTTCTGACATGCTGAGTCCAGCCGCGTCTTCTACGACAAGAAAATCTCCAACGAGGTCCCGGCCGACTCCATAGGAGATGAGTGGAAGGGCTACATGTTCCGCATCACGGGCGGGAACGACAAGCAGGGCTTCCCGATGAAGCAGGGCGTGCTCCTGCCGCACCGTGTGCGCCTCCTCCTCTCCGACGGGCACTCGTGCTACCGCCCGCGCCGCACGGGCGAGCGCAAGCGCAAGTCCGTGCGCGGCTGCATCGTCGGCCCCGACATCGCCGTGCTCTCGCTCGTCATTATTAAGCAGGGCGAGAATGAGATCCCCGGCCTCACGGACACGGTGCTGCCCAAGCGCCTCGGGCCCAAGCGGGCGACGAAGATCCGCAGATTCTTCAACTTGACCAAGGAGGACGACGTCAGGAAGTACGTCGTCAGGCGGGAGGTGAAGAGCTCGAAGAAGGAGAACGCGAAGCCCTACACCAAGGCGTGAGTGTCAGTTATGTCTATTCAAGTGTTCCGATCCTGAGTGTTGCGTCAGACCCAAAATCCAGCGGTTAGTTACCCCCCTCCGTCTCCAGCGTCGCCGTCATCTCCGGTCGCTCAACCGCCGCCGGTTCGAGCGCCAAAAGGAGCAGAAGAGCGAGTACGAGTACGTATGAGGTCTCGACACTGTTGATCTGGTGGCTGATGCTCATGCTCCCAGTGCTCTCTTGGCCAAGCGCCTCGCCGAGAAGAAGGAGAAGGCTGCAGCGGTCAAAGCGAAGAAGTATGTTTCATTCCTCCTAATTCATTGCCCCGTCATTCATCAAAATTCGATGATAGGCACGCTGCTTAATTCTCTGGTTGGTCGCTCGGTTGTCGCATCTACTCATGTTGTGCTCGTTTCGTATGGCCCATACGTATCGATATGCTTTCCACCATCCCCCATTTACCTCCCTCGCAAGTATATTACCTATGCTTGTGACGTATGCCAGACCATGCTGAAAACCGGACCTCCCGAGAGTGTGTGATTCATCAACGTCTGGGTCCGTGTTGCTGCTACGATGTTGTATTAGACCGTCTGTAAGGGAATTGTGTTCTTCGCATATCCATGCGCTGCGTCGATTGGTCAATATCCTAGTTCTTGTTTTCCCTCCTCATATGTCGGGAAGTGACGAATGTTTATTTGCTCGGGCTTGCTCGACAAATATTCGAACTTGTATTTTTGTGGCAATTCCCTGTATTGGCAATGATCGTCCCAAACTGTCCTGATGGCAGACGCCGAAATCCGATCTGCCTCCTGCGCGCTTTATCTCAAAATTCCTCAGCTCGAGTCACTCCAGAACGCCATAAAAAGTGGCGGCTCTGCGCTTCGGCTTCCGCCCATTTCTCTCTAGATTTTGTACATACCGTTCTGTGATGACTTCGGCGGCGTCGACGAGCACCCTCCCAGCGGTCCCGGGCACTGACCCCTCCCGCTGTATCCTGGATTCCTTCCGGATTTCCATCGCGAAAAGAATAGCGGACGCGCTCCCTGCTCTCAGTGTTGAGCAGGCGTATAGTGGCGTGGATTATGGGAAGAAGGGGGTGGATTTTACTGTTGCGCTGCCGCGGTTTAGGTTGCCGGGAAAGGTGGATGAGCATGCGAGTAAGGTTGTGAGCAATGTGAGTAGTTCTGCCTATGATTGCCAAATGTTCTACTCGTCGCCTGCGCGTGTGGAAAGGCTATCTCGGGACAGGGTGTTGGGTCGGCCAACGTCCCTGGTTGATCGGCACAAGACTGATGACAGAACACTTCTTGGGATAGTGTATGCAGGACCATAAGAACAACACGGAGAACGGTCACTTCATGGGCAGAGCAAAGCACTCTGGGCATTCTGTTACCATTATCTACGTGTTGCCTATAATGTTCCCGCATGGGCCATCCCAGGGTTGTCTTCAGACCTGATCAATATCCCGCTCGCATTGACGGACAAGTCTCAATCTCACTAACAGCTTTCACCGTCTAGTTCCAACCGGACGACTGGGTCCAGTCCGTCACGCACGACAAAGCGTTCCTGCACTTCCAGCTCAACACAACGACGCTCCTCAAGCAGGTCCTCACGCAAGTGCACGCGCTCACGCACGAGACGGCGTCCGGGAAGCCTGAATACGGAGAGAATAAGTCGGGCGCAGGGAAGAAAGTGATCATCGAGTACTCGTCGCCGAATATCGCCAAGGCGTTCCACGTCGGGCACTTGCGGTCGACGATCATCGGCGCGTTCCTCGCAAACCTGTACAAGGCGAGCGGGTGGGAGGTCATTTCGATGAACTACCTCGGCGACTGGGGGACCCAGGTGAGCATGGAAGACATCCTTAATCCAATAAGGGGTCCTGACTGGCGCTCAGTTTGGTATGATTGCAGTCGGCTTCGACAAGTACGGCTCGCAGGAGGCGCTCGAGAAAGACGCGATCAAGCACCTTCTGGATGTCTACGTCAAGGTGAACAAGGACGCGGAGGCCGACCCCAACGTCAAGGTAGAGGCAGCCAAGTTCTTCAAGCGTATGGAGGACGGCGACGAGGAGGCGCTGAAGAACTGGCGGCATTGGCGAGAACTCTCGATCAAGAAATACGTCGAGGAGTACGATCGACTAAATGTGCACTTTGATGTGTATACCGGCGAGAGCGAGGTGGGGCGCGAGTGGCAGGACAAGGCGCTTGAGCGGTTAAATGAGATGGGCTTGATTAGCGATGTGGATGGCGCAAAATTGGTCGACCTCGAGAAGTGGAAGCTGCAAAAAGCCGTCGTGCGCAAAAAGGGTGGGTGCCTCCCTCCTCTCCTTGCGACGATCGTATACTGAAGAAGCCTAGACGGAACGTCCATCTACCTGACCCGAGATATCGGCGGCGCCATCGAGCGGTATGAAAAGTACAAATTCGACAAGATGATCTACGTCGTCTCGTCGCAGCAAGACCTGCACCTCGCGCAGTTCTTCAAGATCCTGCGGCTCATGGAGTTCCCGTGGGCGGACAACCTCGAGCACGTTAACTATGGCCTCGTCCTGGGCATGAGCACGCGCAAGGGCACGGTCGTGTTCCTTGACCAGATCATCAGGGAGGCGGCGGACGTCATGCACGAGCAGATGCGGAAGAATGAGGAGAAGTATAACGCGGTTGAGGACCCTGAAGGGACCAGTTTGGAGATTGGCATTACTGGAATCAAGATCCAGGACATGGCCGCCAAGCGGTAAGTTTCGACCACTTGGGCAGTAATGGTAGTCTGACTGACATCTTCCAGGGTAAACAACTACACATTCAATTGGGACCGAATGAAGTCCTTCGAGGGCGACACCGGACCCTACCTACAGTACGCCCACGTCCGGCTCGCCTCAATTGCGCGGAAAAACCCGAATCTCCTGCCCCTCCCCCCGCCATCCGAGATTAAAGTCGACCTCTTAGCGGACTCACCGCACGCGCGCGAGATCGTGTTCTTGCTGGGCTCATACCCCGATGTTGTGAAGACGGTGCTGAAGACGCACGAGCCGAGCGGCGTGGTGACGTTCGCGTTCCGGCTTGCGCACGCGATCTCGAGCGCGTGGGACGTCATGATCGTCAAAGGCGAGCCGAACGAGGACCTGGCGAAGGCGCGTCTGTGGGTGTATCTGAGTGCGCGGGATGTGCTGGGCGCGGCGATGAGGTTGCTGAGCATCCGACCGCTAGAGCGGATGTAGAGGTGACGCTGAAATTCTTGTATTGTAGATGCCTCATCATGATTTCGTTTATGGTCCTCCATTGAGCAGGTACACATTTGTTCTGTCGACAGTGTTGAACTCTAGCGTTTCGGAATACTATGCCGACGCGTGGCATCTCGGAGCAGTGTCATGCAGGTCACCGTGACCGTTCCCGCTCTCGAGCGACGCACTCGCTCAGGCATGCCTCGTAGCCTGCGCATGGCCTGCCTAAACTTTTCTTTTTCCTCCCCGCTTCTTTTCACACAGGGCTTTCCGGGTGGATTGCACGAAAAGTTTTGAAGCACCCGTAGCTATCATCGCACCCATGTTTTTTCATGGCATGATCTACCGCCAGGCGATGCAGATGCCGTTTCATAGGCGGGAGTCCCGGCTCAGCTATGTCTGATCTCCAAACTTCTACTAGGGGACCCGTCCGTGGCGGAGAGCCCTTCGGGCGTTATCCTCTAATGCAATGCGCCCACCTCACGCGCAATCCGCTAACGGGAGGAATGCGAAGTTCGAGGTTTCCGCCTACGGTGAGAGTTGGTTTATCAGGTCTCATTCTATTACTTAGACGAAGCGAGATATGCGAGGTCAGGGACGCATGACGGACGAGCAGTCCCATCATGCAAGGACGAGGGTGTCGCTGGGAGGGATCAATGTGAGTGACAGTGTGGCAGAGGCGCGGGAAAACTCTATCGGGTAAGCTCAAGCTCTTAGCTCAAGGATGCGTGCGCGCTCTCCACTTCTGCTTCCGCCACGACAGTCACAACCACGACCGTCACGGCCGGAACTGGTATCTACGCTCGATTGCCCGCCCACTAAAGGGTTCAAGCTTTGAAGGTACGGGTCAATATTGGAGTATATCGGGTACAATACCCTTTCAGTTCGGATTCTTTGGGATTCTTCCAATGGTTTGGTCCGATAGAGTACACGTTGATAAAAGGGAATATGGGTACTTTCTTGGCAAATTCCCTAATTCATAGCTGACCCGGGCTCGATCAACTCCCTACATCACTTTCAGGCTCCAGCACCGGACCGAGAGCTTGTAAAGCTTCATAAACGGCACAACGTTCGTGCCAAGAAGTGCCGGCTGCAGACTCACGTTAAACTCCATAGGATATCACGTACGGCTGCAGATGGTCTCCCCACGATGTACGATAAGGGTCTATCCCCGCTGCTCAAGTATCTTCCAACCTCTCCGCTCATTCGCAGCCACTAAAAGTCGCCAGCCCAGTATTCCTCGGAAACACTTGACCGTTGAAAGTCAATCGATCGACGAAATTTACTCCACTGAAAGGTTCTCTGGTGAGTTGAAAGGCCCTGTCCGTGATGCTACCATCCCGGATCGTTCCGTACGTCTTCTGACAGTATCGATCAGTCAGTACCGTCTCACTTTCTTTTCCCATGTTACAGCCCATTGGTTAACGCATGCCTTAAGAGATGCTACTACTGCATCTCTTAAGTGTGATCTAGCAGTCAGCTGTATAATTCGTACCACGAATGATGAAGGCAGTTACAGACACTGAACTCCTTTGCTAGAACACTGAAATGCATCCCATCCTTACCAGTCTCGCGCCTCCTGGGACTTGAATGTGATTCAAGTACGCTATCGTTCGATATCTTGAATATCTATATGTCATCTAAAGTTCACGACAGCGCATAGTAGAACCTTTTGTCAGAAGAATTCCTCAGCATTCTTTTTTTGTACACTGGTGTCCTCATACGCCTGCTCGGCCTTTTGCGTTGCCGGCACACCCAGACGTAACTATCAGGCCAAGCTCAGACTGTCAGCAACTAGATTCAGACCTTATCCTCGCCCCCCAAGTCCTTCGGATAGCGCAATGTTCGTACCTCGATGGTTACTCGGGTGCCTATGACTTACGGTCTCGCAGAGTAGACCTGTCAGAGTGCGCTATATTCAATGGCGGTCGAGCAGGTCAAGTGATGCAGAAACGCCGCTTTCGAAGAGATCCTATTGCTTAGCGTCGACGTCAACCTGTCCCGCACTTTCCCTGGCACAACGTCAAAATGGCATACTATACAGATATCAACAGCCTCAAGGGGAAGACCGGGCGCATATATAACTGATAGACAAACGAGCACGGAATCCCAGGATCCCTCCTTCAGGATGTCCCTAGTAAGAGCCCCGTTGACGATAATCGCTGCGTATGGCATGGGCTATGCTCTTACGCCCCCGAACCCTCCTGTGTCTGATGAAGAGCGCGCTGCCTATCGGACGGCCGAAACCACGCTAGGACGTTCGGCGTTGATATGGACTGCAGCACTCAAGGCATGTCTCGAGCTCTGTTGCCGTTTGCTTGACTCACCCACGCACTACCTATAAAGTATCTGTTTTGGGCGGAAGGGTTGTGCGAGGCGGCTACAATCCTCGCACACAACTTTCCATACCCACCATTGACCGATCACGTACTCTTGACCTTACTCCCAGCCGCTCATTCTGCGGCATCGATACGAGTGACACCCAGCTTCTTGGTCGGTACACTGTTGACGACTGTAGGCGCGTACTGGCGGCGTGAGTGCTTCCGAACCCTTGGGAGGTTCTTCACATTCGAGCTCTCGATCCGCAAAGAACATCAGCTGGTCACGACGGGTCCTTACTCCATCGTGCGCCACCCTGGCTACCTGGGTACTCTCCTGGCATTCACGGGCATTCACGCATGCCTGTTCGGACCGGGATCGCTGCTGCGCGAATCAGGGATACTGGAAACGAGAGTGGGGCAGGTAATCATTGGAGGGATGGTCATAAATATGACTTCGATGGTCATTGCATTTGCGAGGCGGCCACGCATTGAGGACGAGACGTTGAAGCAGCAGTTTGGCGAGCAATGGGACCGATGGGCGGAGCGCGTGCCGTACAGGATTATACCGTACATTTACTGACAACACAAAGGTGACAACTGCATTTGATGTCACCAGCCTGAGTTGATCCCCTCTTTACAGGCCTTCTGTGCATGTCTCCGGGTATCTATCTATACGGCTTCCTGGTATGCTCGATCATCACAACTTAGGCACGCAAATCCTTTCAGCAAGCACAAATCTATGAAATTTACCTGGGCGTGATGACCAGATGGTCGAGGATGAGACTATAGCTACTGAAGCGTATGTGGATGTGGCGACGAGATTCTTGTATTGCAGAGAGGCGATTTTGCTTCTCTCGATATCCATTCACAGTGCACTGCGAGGGACACCGCGATATTCATTGTTAGACTACCTGTGTCCACCTTCACAAATAAGTAAGGCCCTCCTAGCGTAGATAGCATCCTAGGTCAGGGCAGGCTCTTAAGAGCGGGGATGCAGAGAGACGTAGGCTCGTGTCCACCCTGTTGTACCGCTATTGAAGGGAGATTATCTCTACAACGTTGATTCTGCCTCAATATGTTTATCTGAGTCTGTTGTAGAAGGTGAGAGAGGGTGGTTACGAGCCTAAGCGAGACTTTGGTGTGGCAACAGCGTGCGAATCAAAAATCACGTGATGGGTAGACGATGTGGCTGCATCCAACCGCCATTCCACGACGTAAACGGCGACCACAACCAAACCCTCAGTCCATCTATCAATACCCCGCTGAAAACTGTGTAAGGATTTACAGGCACACTCAAAGGCTGACAATATCAGCCATGGGTCAATACTGGATGATGTGGGTTACCGAACTCTTTCGGACTGAGGGCCTCTGTACTGACCCTTGGTCCCCTTACGAGCATAAATGTTGATAAAAGGAGAGCGTGGCACGGCTACGGGAAGATATTTGAATTCATAGCTAGACCGGGCACTGTAAACCCGCTACTTCACTCGCTAATGCCCCCATCACAAGATTGGGAGCTTGAAGAACTTCATAAACGGAAGTGCGCTCGCGCCACAAGGCGAGTCCTTTCCCTCTCATAGAATAGTCTGTAGTCTGAGCTACGATAGTTCTATGAGCCCGGAGGCTGGTCTAGGACGGCCACGGAATTACTCGACATGATTTTCGAGGCCATAGAAGACTACAACGACATAGGCTGTCTTTGCGTTACCAATGCGACACTTTGGACGATTGGATACAAACATTGTCGACGCATGTTACAGAGACTGACAAGCTGGCAACAAGATCGTATCCTTTGTCTCGGAGACGAAAGTTGGGACGTACCCGACGGCCTCCTCACACACGAAGAAGGGCAAGAAGTTCAAGAATATGCAATCTCCAGAAGCTCATATGACGATCCCGACTGCGTGGAGCTCAGCTTCGTTGCAGTCGATCTTTATGAGCAGGAGGGTCTTTCCGATATGCGGAGTATATCTCAAGGAATATCTGGCCCACATGGGCTCCGTCGATATTTGGAACAGGAGGCTTTACGACTGCTCTTCAAACCTGTTTACTTCCATGACAAACTATGGGTGCTTTGTAACCTGTCCAAGCGGGAATTTGTGCGCGCCGAAACCATCATGAATGACGAGACGATCGGCAAGAAGCTATACCTTGGCGAGGCACTCATCAGCCGCATCTGCTGGTCAAGCCGTTGCTCCCAGACAAGAATATCCATCGTGGCGTATGGGCCGGCGATCAATTCACCATTGTGATGGCGGAGGAACTTGAGGAACGTTTCGGAGACGAAGAGCCGTGGAAGGACGTCTCGGAGGAAATTGTGAAGGATTGATAACCCTTTATCGGTCATATTATGTCCCACAGTGGCCCGCAAAGAGACGCTGAAGACTCGTGGTCTAATGGGAACTCAAAACTAGAATGCGGAGGAAGACATCGGCCGGGAATACGCGGAATGATACTAGGTGGGAGGCAGTCTAGGGTGTGCTAAATCGTTTCTTTTCCTTCATTTCGTATCTTGGCGTTCGCAGATCCTAGTAAGGACTACTGTTTGGGGATCTCTATTGGCCAGATGACTATGTATGCATAGCATTCAGTCGTAGCGCCTACTACTCCTAGTGTGTCTGTCTCGCAGACCGGAATGAACTTACGGAGGTAGAGGTGAATGCAATAGTTCTGCTGATCTGTCCACTTCTGCACTATGCATCGTCAAGAATCTATTCGCCCTTTGGGAGGTTCATCGTCGCAACTCCGGTCTGTTTTCACAGGCCACCATCATGCTGGCTTCATTAAATCCTCAGGCCCGTATGGAATGATTTAGGAAGCTGACTAAAGACGCTCTGTCTACGTCATCCGCCGACTGAGTACCCTTCAAGTTACCGAGACACAGTGACGAAGTGCCTTCCGGTTGACGCTAGGCTGACAGGTATAAGGATCGCTACACTGTCACCAAACACGCGAATTCAATTGATAATTCCACTCGCTACATCTCGTTGCCGGCTGTATCTTGCCAGAAGTATCAACAAGAGTCTCTTACCTCCGCGTAAGACCACCACTCTTATGTCTTCCACGCGGGGAAGGATGAAGTCTACTGCCGCTATGCAAGGCAATGAAGCAAATGGTCTACAAATGATACGACACTCGTCGGAGTCGCCGACAATGCAATGGCCTGCACAAGAGAGGGCCCTGGGACTCGCTGGCAGCTTTCTGAAGGAATGGTGAGATTCTGCTTTCTCTCTCGACCCCTGAGACTTACCGAAGTCACGCATAGTGCCGCTGCCAAGCAGACTACTCTTATCGTGCCCGACAAAGACGCGGACGGGCTCAGCGCGGGATGCATAATCCTCAGAACTCTGCAGCTTCTGGGATTAGGAAGAGAACACATACGGGTGCACTTCGTGGCTAAGGGTTCGAACGTACACGAAGCGGAAGAGCGGCAACGAATGAAGGCATATAATGCCAAGTATGCCATCGTCGTCGACCAGGGTTCACGACCAGGGCCATCTCTCATTCCAAGACAGGACGGTGGCGAAGACGTCAAGACGCTGCTACTTGACCACCATGAAAGCGACGAGTTCCCTGAAAACACACTTGTAAGTGAAAACACACTTGTATTTAGGATTAACGGCAGTCGACCGACGAGAGACAATTGTAGGTCCTTTCAGCTTGCAGACATGAGCCGGTAGCAACTTCTGCTACTTTAGCCTATGTTTTATGCCTTCCGCTACACGACAAAGTCGCCGCTAGATGCGATTACCTATGTGCCATGGGGACCATCGGAGACCTGGGAACGTCATTCAAGTGGGACCCGCCTTTCCCGGACATGAAGCCATGCTTCAAACGCTACACCAAGAAGGCCATAAATGAGGCTGTAAGCCTGGTCAATGCTCGTGAGTCGTTCTAGTCCGCCATACACAAAACGATGACTTACGATACCCAAGCTCGTCGCACTGCTCGCTTTGACGCGGAATCTGCCTGGGATGTGAGTGTATAACGAGGATATCAGTTAGGAAGCGCTGAGCGTCGATTGAGGCTATTGTCGCATCCACGTCTCCGGGGGACATAACATCTCCAAAATCCCCGCACACCCGTCGTCTTCTCGAGGCCCGTGCAGAGGTCTATGCAGAGGTAGAACGGTGCACTCATGTAGCGCCTCAATTCTCAGGTGACGGCAAAGTTGCTTTGCTGCGTATATCAAGCCAGGCACAAGTCCACCCGGTATGTTACTGCTGAACGAAGCGGTACTGGTATTATTGACCTCAGGAGTACTTGCAGGTAATCGCGACTCGATGGGCGGGCCATCTGAAGTCTCCTCGTCTGCAGATAGTGATGGCAGCAAATACGGGCTATCATCCAGGGACAACGCACTTCTCCTGTCGCATCGCCCGCCAAGCGCGGGCTGCCGCGAATGTGGACATCATCGCCATGCTGAAGGCATATGCAGACCGGGAACCGGGTCTCCGCGAGGCGATGGGCGAAAATTTCGCTAGAGGCCACAAGCAGGCGAGCGGAGGAATCGTGAAGACCGAACATTTCGAACGTCTGTGGCAGGTCATGGTGGACAGCATAGATACAGCAGCGAGGGAGCGACCGCCCCAGAAACGCCAGAAGAAGACAGAACCGGGGCAGCAAACGCTGACCGGGTGGCTTGGGAAGCCTTAGTACAACACTCACGGGATAATATGATACTCCGTGCATTGTTTGTTTATGTACGCCAAAGTGACGGTGGTATATTGATTACAGTGACAGTTCACCAACTGCAGGGCCTACGCAAGGGCATCATTGTCGTATGGCGGCAGCCCCCACTGCTCAGGAACGAAGGCTTCGAGTGACGGTAGTGTTTGATCCGGTCTTTCTATATCATCAGGATACGGGAGGCTCGCCAGATTTGGGTCGGGAACCCAGACCACTGTGGACATTTTCAATGGTGCCGTAGCAACAGACCTGTTAGGACGTACCGTTCATCCCAGCTCTCTTGCCCGATTGTACTCCTGGGATCGCGTCCTCAAAGACTAGTCCTTTAGCGCGCTCGGCGCGCTGCTCGGGCGTTGCAGATTCCCCTGCACCCTTTCCTACGTTCCTCCCCAGCATTTCCCTCGCGGCAACCAAAAACCCATCCGGGGCAGGTTTGCCGTTGATCTTGCCGCCGCCTTCAACCTTCAGTATATCATCGTCTCCACATACCACTTTATTGCCGAAGTATCCGAATATTTCTTTCTCCAGGTGAGACGTTTTCATGTTGAAGTTCGCCCGTCTCGTGCCCGTGGAGATGGCAATGGGGATGCTATGCTTGTGAAGATGTTGCACGAGACGAATGATCCCGGGGAGAGGCGGAACAGTAGGCCAGAGAGCATTCTGGAGAACATCACGCCGCTTCAGATATTCTTCGATTGTTAGAGAGAGTCCTGGGAAGAAGGAAAGGAGGTGAGCGGCAGCTTCACGTTCAGCTAATAAGACGAAATTATGCCCATTAATGGTGACAATTTCAAGAGATGGGAAAAAGCATACGTTTTCCCATTAATCCTGCTTTTATGTCCCAGGTCATTTGGACGCCATACTCCGCGAGGATTTGATCTAAGCGAGTCGGATCGCGTATATCAGTACAGAAAGCAGGACCAGCGTGACACCTTTGAGATTCCCCCTTTACACGCACTTGTCACTTCGGTGTATATCCTCTCGGAATCAATCATGAGTCCTTGAAAAAGAGTCTCATCATGGTACTGATGACGATACAAACGCGAGATCTTGATGTACCGTCTAAGTCAAAGATGGCATACTCGACCTTTGGGAGTTTCTGTACTATGGTCGCCATTTCAAAGGTCTTATTCAAAATCCCGTTACGGAGACGTAGGTACTGGAAGGACTGCCGAGGAGGTAGAAGCTGGCTAAGTGCTAAGCGCGATGAGCCAGTGTATAGACTGTCGTGGGACCCATCTGAGATCTGCCTCCATTTACGTAACCTCGTGGTTCTTAAGTAGAACAGAGTATCGTCTCTTTCGGGTCTCCGGCACCAGGTACCTGCTCCCAATACGATTATCAGCGTCTCCGACGACCCATCATGATTATAATTGTACAAGCATAGACGCTGTGAGACAGCCGGAAATCAGTCCGACCTGCTGACATCAAACCCTGGCTCTGCCATGTCATGGGAAACATCTATACTGAGAGTTGCATGGCATTGTTCATTTTTTGGACTGGAATAAAGCGCAGTAAACCCTGCTTTCTGTTCCCTGTCAGGCTCCAAAGTGCCCCAGGGCGAACTCATGGCTACCAGCTCTGTCCAACACGACGTCTCCATCCGAGTGACCAGTCATTCTCGCAGACTAAGGCGGGTCTCTGGACAGGCTTCCATCAAGTCCCCACCGGTTTCAGAAAGCAGAACCCCACGACAGGGTCGTGCTATAGGCTACCCGCGTACAAAGGCCAGCACAGGGTCATCACAAGGCTACGAACCAGACGACGAGGCATCCTGCGTCGCTAGTGTCGAGAAGGTTCGCTCGTGGCAGGAGCGCCTAAACAGACCGAAGGGCGGCAAAGGATGTATCGGAGAGCAAGAGCGGGCAAATGAGCATGCAGACCTTCCTCAGGGTCTGCAACAAGGAACGAACCCGCGCCCTTCGTCTGTGCGCAATTCGACTGCAGCAGTAACTCGTATGGAGTACCCCCAAATTGAAACTACGAGTCGAGCGGAGGATGTTCGACCACCCTCAATCTTCCCTACCGCAGCCAGTGAGCCCAAATTACATACAGTAGACTAGAAGGCTGACCATGTACAGATGAAGCAGCTTTTACTGGAGAGATTGCGAGGACATCACAACCGCAAGAAAGAGCGGCAGCCGATAATCAGAGCACATCCTCGACACATCGGTCAAGTGAAGTGGGGAAACCCAAGTCCGCGAGGAATTCCATAGGTGACTGTCGCATCATCCTGCCGCCATCACCCTATGAGCGAGAGGTCGTGGTGTATCCTGGCGGGAAGATGCGAGTCACGGTGAGGGTAGCCTTACATTGGTCGGGACGGCAGCTCACACACTCTTCGACCTGACAGACCAGTCCACCACCACCACCTATCCGCCGTGCCCAAGCTCCCCAAGGGCCAATATATGTCCTACCGTCCCCTCGGCCACGATCACATTCCTTCACGGATCCCAACCGTGCCGCCCACGGTGCAGCGCCCCAGAGTAGGACAATCACATTCGCAGATGATACCCGCCGGCACCATACCCTTCGGCGATCGTCTGTTACAATCCATTCGCCACAGGCCCCAATCGTTATTCTGCCCAGTAACCGACGTCAAGCTCGCAATGCAGGACCAGTCCCAGTATTCACATGGTATTCCATATGAGGGGCGGTGAACTGGGGCGGTCGAAGCAGGACCGTATTTCTCAGCGGTATCTGGGATAAACGGGGATTGCTGCAATATGTTGCCATCCGTGAGATGCAAACACAGAAGCTCGTGTCGGACTTTGCAGCCATTGCCCAGAGATAACCTTGGAACATGATATACTTACAATGACGCACCCTATCGGACATTCACTGTAGGCCCTAGGAACATGTGTGTAGCCTGCGAGATGTTCAGTAGAGCAAGGACGTGACTAGACCAATAGAGAGTTCTACCATGTAATCGAGGATCGTGTCGGCCAAGGATTACCCAAGTCCAGCAATATTCAGAACCTCGATAGCGCCACGCCGACTTCACCTCGACTGCTGCGGAATAGGTAGCGACCGAGTGGCGTCTTGAATTGAACACCAGGACGAGGCACAACAGCAGGTCCAGAAGCTATGACTGAGACGCAAGCCAGTGTGATTGGACTGGGGTGGGTGTACCCATCGCGACTGGCCACAGCCGCTCTTATACAGCATCTGCAGATGCGGATATCCAAATAGAAGGGCGACCATGGTGACATCGGAGACGAACAGATGATCATCCGCGTGAACTCGCGGCATCTCGGACGTGGTGATCCTGGGGTCGTCAGTAAGGACTCAGTGATACATCTGTACTGCCTCCCACCTGCCTCACACCCGAATCAATCTCAACCACTACTGTGGTCTGTGGGGTGCTACTCTGCCATTACCGACGAGGGTCGGTGATTCTTCGAATAAGAGACGGACAGATGGCGGCGTGCCTGACAACCCTCGCAATGAATCTAGGTCATCGTCGATGCATCATACAGGCCGATACGGAGGGGTGGATCACCGTCGGAAGCAGACCATAGCATTCATAGCCGGGAAACCAGAGGTCGGTGGTACACTTGATGTAACGCCGGGCTTCTGACTACAAACCTCGTACCCGTTCAGAATGAAGCATCTCGACGGAAGGCAGCCTAATACAGCACACTTCACGTCTGCGGTGGCACCCTTCACGGCGCGACATGCCACCCGAATCCGCTCGGTGAGCCGGGACCCACGACCACAACCCCGATCTGACGCACGATGCCATCGATTTCGCGTAGATACCGTACCGGCGCGCTCGGTCCTGAAGAGGCTGTGACACCGCGATATTCGAGGGTGCTGTTCTTGGGTAGGACACGTTTTCTGGTAAAGCATGTTTCTGTACCCAAGGAGAGATGAGGGGTACGATTTTGCTGGAATGTCAGGCGGTCATGAGGAGGACGAGCTGCGGGGAAGGGAACAGTGTCGTGGCCTAAGCCATAGGCAGTCCTACCCAAGGTCGAGGATGGTACAGGATCTTGCAAAAGAGCGCCGCGACTGTATTCGAAGACTGGCAGCTTCACAGTTAGCCAAAAAGGGCCGGCCAGAGAGACGAATCATCGTATTCTGAGTGTTGCGAATGTCGTCTACCCGAGAGACGAGAAACCAGGAAGTCAGACGGCGTTGCCGACGTGCTACGAACAAGTGATTTCAACCAGTCTTCCTTCGACCCAAGGCTTCTAGCGTAAATCCAGTTCGTACGCTAAATTTCGGCGCCTTCCCGAACAGCGTCATTCCAGACTCTTAACTCCGTTCAGTCGAGAGCTTATCCGCTGGCCAGCGCCAAGGTTCGAAGGCTATCAAATTCATTCAGCCCACCTAGAAGTGTCCGTTGTTAGAAGGATTACGACCGTCACCAAGGGGTTCGCGTTTCACTGGCGCCTGAAAGAAGATCTAGGAGGGGAGCGAGGAAGCACCATATCAAGTACAAGGCAGCGGGAACCCAAGTCAGAGTGGGTATGTCACCGGACTTTGGAAGGAGTTTCGGGTCCAGAAGGCCCGCGCGCGGAGGCCTGTCATTCCTCGGAATGCAATTTCTTGAAACATAGTCGCCGATTACGAGAGGGGACTTTGCACGAGCGGGGCACGAGAGGCTCGGAGGCATATCGATAGAATCCCGGACCCGTGCGCGGAACAAGGGCGCGCGCCTTGCCAACCGGCCGGCGGCTATTCCAGTAGTAGATCTTGGACTATCCAAAGCATGAGCGCTCCACCAGCCTATTTCCGACATAGCAAGCGGTGCAAGTGGTGATTAAGAAGGCGGTGTATTGCGACCAGTTACTTGTCTCCTGAGCTTTGGATGATCAGCGTCGAGGACACCCAGAGTGCTGATCAGGCGTCAATCATGATAAGACGCGGCCCGCGTAGATTAAGCTTGCGGAACAACTCCCGTGCCACCGGACTTGGGTGAGTTGTGTGAGCGTATAGGTCCACAGGCCTCTAGACCGGGACCATGAATTTCTTCATTTCGCCAATGGGGGAGGGACGCCGGACCCGTGTCCGAAGAGAAGTTCTGATTTCGAACTCGCGTGGCCCTAGAATGATGAGGGACGAGGACAAGCTCGCCATAGGTGGGCTGCCAGCACGTGGGACTCCAGGAAGGGCGAGTACAAGGTTCTTGCCTTTTCCGTCCACAAGCAAGTCGCCCAATTCGGGGGGCGAAGGGAAGGAGGGAACTGAGACCTCGAGCACCAGCCGCAGCCCGTACGAGCATCGAGGAAGCCTCTTCTGACTTGTGGCATCCACCGAGACCAGTGCAGTTGCAAAGATGAGAGCAGGAAGCTCGGATGCAGGAGATGGTGGTGGTTAGAGGCAAGTGGCGGGGAGGGCGGTCGCGCGGCAACGAGCAGAGATTGATGTGGCACGCGGTTCCCGGGGTCTCAGCCCGAGCCAACAGAACGCGAAGTCCGACAGAATTCATCAAACTTGTACCTAATCCTTATCCTGGGACGGGTCAGGCGTAGCGAGTGCCCGAATATAAAGTGCAGCACAATACACGCCCTTATTGTCTCTCGCCGCCCTTCTCTCTTATTGTTCTCGCCTTTACGGGATCCCGCCACGTTCACTCTGGCCTGCCTGCCCGCCCTCGGGATCCACTACGATGCCTCCGATTAGAGTTTACAGTCCACCCCGCCGCAGATCATCAACAGCCAGTGGTACGCGCTTTATCCTTGTTGTTAGTGTCGGTGCTGATGACACTCTACGCAGGTGTCACCACTGTCCGGGCTGGGTCCTATGGCTTCCGCTCACCGTCGCCACCAGCACTCAACATCTCCCAACGACCCGTCCAATTCGCGCCAAATGTAACGCCGGGAACGTACCTCGCGCCCTCTCCGAGCCCCGAAGCCGACCGCCTCTCATCACACTCGCCAGTCCAGCCACTTTTCCCGCCAGCGTCGACGCCATCGGACGCTGCGCCACGCCAGAAGAGACGGCAACCACCGGGCAAACGCCTTTCGCAAGGCTACATCCCGCGGCCGCCGAACGCGTTCATGTTGTTCAGAGCAGCGTTCGTGACGCAGAAGCACGTCCCCGGTTCAATTGAGACGAGCCATGGATCGCTATCGAAGATCATCGGTGAGTGTCTTCTCTGCCACATCGGTCGCGATCGACGACTCCGGCTATTCCCGAAACTCCTCATTGTGGCACAGCTCTTTGCTCACAACCTTTCGTGTGGCGTAGGCAACTGCTGGCGCGCGCTCCCTCTTGAAGAGAGAGCGATCTGGGAAAAGAAAGCGAAGGAAGAGAAAATAGAGCACGCGATAAAGTACCCTGGCTACCGCTTCAAGCCCGTGCACAAGAAGCACAAGAAACGGGACGAACCCAAGAAGCCAAAGGCCACCGACCTCGAGGAGCGCCGCTGCGAGGAAGTGGCGCAGCTCTTGCTAGAAGGCAAGAAAGGGGAGGAGCTCGCAAAAGCCGTCCGCGAGCTCGACGCCAAGTACCAGTCGCGCAAGCCGTCTTTCCGGGAGCCGCAACTACAGCCTCCGCCACAACCACAACCTCAAGCACAGCAGTACAACCCCCACGCGTGCTATCACCCCTCTCAGTTCTCCCAGCTCCCGCGCCGGTCTTCCTCGGTGCCGCCGCCAACCACGATCGCCCTCCCGGCCGCGCCCTTCCTCTCCATCTCGCGCGGCCACTCCCCCGTCCCGTCCATCAGCTCTGTCTCCATCGCGCGCTCTAACCGCGTCTCGCCACCCAGTAACACTTTCGACACCGACGCCCTCAACGCAGGGAACTACCTCCACCAACGCCGCGCCTCGACCGCGCCCCCGATGGACCTTGGCCTCGAGGTCGACGCCGACGGCATCGCGAGCCTCCCGTGGCCCATGGGACCGAGCGACTTCAGCTACCGCGAGACGTACCTGCGCTACCAGGAGCTCCTCCAGCACGGCTACCACGGCCAGTACGGCTGGCGCTACTCGCAGACGCAGATGCAGGAGCAGCCGATGTATCAGGACTGGATGCCTGAGCCGCAGTATGATAACCGCGAGCCGAGCCCGGTGCCGGAGGTCAATACGGCGCTGTGGGAGCCTGGGTGGTCGTTGCAGTGTGATCAGAAGCCTCAGCCCGTCCAGAACCAGGCGCCCACCGAGAGGCGGGATAGCTTCGTGAGTCACTCGTACTGCGACTTGTTTAATTATCCTTCTAATCTCAAGCCATTCTGATAGGATATGACACACGTGCTGAAGTACCTCCCAGACAAGCAGGGCCCGTCCGAAGAGCCCGCGTCCGCCTCCAGCTCGGCCTCATACCAGTACCCCTCGCCCTGGGCCGCGCAGCAAAACCAGTCCGGGCCCTCCTCGCACTACTCCTCCTCGCCCGCGCCCTCCACCGTCGACTCGATGGAGGCCAACTGGGCCGCGCAGTCCTCGGGCAACTCTCCCGCCTCCATGTCCTGCACGCTCTCGCAGGCGCAGGTGTCCCCTGTGTCCGTGCACGCGCCCCGGCCGCAGCAGGCGTGGGGCCTCGGGCTGGACTTCTCGCAGCAGCAACAGGTGCAGCAGGCGGAGTACGTCGAGGTAAGCCCGTACGATATGGCACCCGCGCCGCAGGAGGGCTATGACGCGAGCCAGGAGGGATATGCGTTCCCCGCGCCGAAGACCGAGCCGCAGCCAGAGAGCCCGCTGTTGCAGGGCTACGTGTCGCCCGTCGATCTCACGCAACAGCAACACCAGCAACAGATGTACGACTGCTACGCCCAGGCTGTGCACGCGGACCCGAACTCCGTCGCGTCGGGCACTGTGGTGTACGAAGAATATCACGACATCATCCACGACAACGTCTACTAAGAGCCGTCTACATCGCATCCGAATTGCATCTCATTTCTTGCCTCCATCATCCTAGCCCTAGCACCGGATTTTAATCAGCGCAGAGACAATCAGTTATCGTCGTGGCGTCCTTATACAGCGGCCCACTTTATTTTGGAATGGGGTTAAAGATATAACTATCTATTCTGTCCGTGTCGTTGTCCGGGGGTGTTTTCTGAACGCGCTCCCGAGACGCTACTGTAGCACTAGCTATACCTGCATCGCTTCTTGTCGTCTGTAGCATTGTATCATAGCTCTATATGTTATCCAATAGATCATATGCTTGTCCCTCGTCATTAGGCGAAAGTAAGTAGTGCACTCCAGGATATCAACGTGATTAGGACTGGTGTTGGTGCGAAGGCATCTACATCTAATGAGAGTCAAAAGCCATAACGGCGCCTAGTGCCAGTTCAGAGGAAAGCTGGCACGTCAGATCAGGATGAATCAATGTATCAGAGCTTCAAGTCCGTGTTAGGCTCGCGCATCGTAAGTACATCATACTGGTATACATAAGCCTGTGAGTGCAAAGTTCAAAACAGGGCACGACCCAACACGAAGAGCATCCACGCCAAACTGACGAGCCCGGACAAATGCTGATCAGGCCGCGCCCCTACCGCAGAGCTGTATGTCCCCGTCGTTTCTGGTACATCATCCTCCTGCGGATCCACCAGTGGCGCTGCGGCGCCAATGGTCTCGTTCACGCACGTCAGGAACGTCGTGTTCGCCCAGGCCGGGATCGGTGCGTCCGGTACACTCGAGTTGGCGAGCAGCGCGGCGGTGTTGTTGTACCCGTCCAGCGTGAGCACGATGCTGCTCGCGCGGTAGTACTGGATCGCCTGCTCGGGCTTCGGGGCAGTGGGTGCCGAGGCGTTGTACGACTGCGGCACAGAGACAAGGTCGTACGGCGGCCCAGGCGCGGGGAGAAGCATTGAGGTGCAGTTCGCCTGGATGGAGGAGATGAGGGAAGCGACGGTGCTGTTGTCCGCGAGGATGTGCACCGTCGTGTTTCCCGAAACGGAGTGCAGGGTGCCGTCGTACATTGGTCCGCCGGGGTGGGTCGAGTCGTCTGGGTCACCGTACTAGTGAGGGATGAGAATCAATTATTGTCAGACATGGATGAAATAGCGGTACTTACCTCATGATCGTATAGGTACCCCGCGCCGTAGCCTGCTGAACCGCCCCAGACTACGGGCCAGAAGTAGAACGGAAAACCACGACCACTAACTCCGCGGCCTGTGATACCGGGGTAGCCGCTACCATAAGTGCTGTGATCGACGGTAGTCAGAACTCAATTTCGGCAGCCTGTACAGTTGAACACGCTCACCGTGATCCGTAAATATCATTGCGCGTCCCGCCGCCCGCGCTCCTCCCTGCGAAGGCCTGACCCGAGGGTATAGTGATAGGTCGGCTGTCTCCGCTACCGTATGCGCTGGCGGACGACCTTCCACTCCTGCCAGGAATCGATCCACCCGATAACGGAACAGATGTCCCAGTCGACCCAGCGCTCCCGGGAGTCCCTCGTCCTCCACCACTGCCTGTGCCAGACGATGTGCCGCCGCCGCCACTACGTCCGCCGCCGCTGCCACCCCCTCCGGTGCCTCCGCTCGACCCTTTGCCTCCTCCGCTGCTGCCTCCGCCTCCGCTACGTCCGCCGCCGCCTCCGCTACCGCCACCGCCGCGAGAGCCACCACTGCCCCCACCGCCGCCGCCGCCAGCTCGTTGTGCTAGATCGCGCTTACTTGTGGAGAAAAAGGGAACGTACATGTTAATTCAAGTCGGCAGGTGAGTCGAGCACAGACTCGCAGGCGCATATTTATACCGTAGCTCCCTTCGAAGGAGACCATATGGCGTGCCGTGTATCATACTGAATAGCATTCGCATAGCATGCTCCGTCATTTTCTCTGAAATTTGGTAACGGTTTGTGGAGAAATACGGATGGACGCACAGCCTTCGACATAGCGTGAATCGTGTACAGTACATATCGCGACGGCACGCGTACGTTGATTAACCATCACATACTGAAATCACGTCGATTTCCACACTCGTATAGACGCTGCCAAAGCTATTACCCTTGTTGCACAAACGCGACTTCATTGACCAAGTCGAGGAGTCACGATATAATACATAGGAGACAATGCAAGTTGAGTCCAAGGCCTTGTTGTCCAAGGAGTGTCGGCCCGATGCGAGCGGACGCCAGCAAAGGCAGGTGACTAGGTTCGTGGCAGTTCCTCCCCTGATACTGTATGTCCGGACTCTTAAGCGCATGTTATGAGTTTCATAAGTCCATTATTTCATCTCCATGCCACTGCTTGACTAGCATCATTGGAGGAATGTTCAAACTGAATGCAGCCAGCGTGCCAAGACGACTGCACGATCCCAGTCAGAACATAGCAGCCTCGTACTGCAGCTGGTTATACTTGTCGGGCTGAGAACGCTCGCAACAGCTACTTATGGCTCCACATATCCGATATCGCGAAAGAAGAAACGAGATACCAAAACCTAGAGACAATATGAAATGGGACGCGATTCGTTCATCTATTCCAAACGGTGTTACGAGGCAAGCCAGTGTGGAATCCCTGGAGATGCCCGTCGCTTGTCGGATTAGCCATTGCATTAAAGCAGCAGGGCCTTCGGCTCCTACGACTAACCCTCTGGTTGCACACTGTCGGGCTTGGGTTTGACGATTTTACTGTCTCCTTGGACGTTGCGGGCAGCGGATGCAATGCTTCTTCCCCGCGGTCCTGGCTTTACACCGGGAGCTTTCGCAAACTTCCCTGCGCGCTCCAAGGACCCATACTCGAGACCTTGCTTCAACTTCCATGACATCGTTCCATAGCGTATATGTCGGACTCGCCATACATCGACCAGACCTCATCGGCGGCTCTTCCCCGCGTCCGTGAGAGTTTACGAAGATGTCGACGCTTTCATTCATGTTAGGTTTACAGCTCCTCAAGGCCTCTAGTCAACGACAGATCGTCCGGATCCTCTAGCATCGGGCACAGCGCTACAAGATCTCGCCCCCTCGTAGTCTCGAACCTTTCTTTTCTCTGGCACGAGAACTCCTCGTAACATATTGAATACTTCGACTCCCATCACTGACCGTTCCTGCATGATCCGTTGAAGTCGCCGGAGGCGCTCACTTCGGTGAACGCAGGTATGTAGTCGACGGACGGCGACAGACGAGGGGCCTGAGACTAACCTACTAGTACGAAGAAGGGTCAGGCGACATACCAAAAAAGGCAGGCATGGCTGTGGCTTTTGTGGCTCTGTCATCGCATAGCACATGTTATGGCAGGAACGAGCTCTACTTACCGAGCCTTCTTTTTCGAGTCAAGTACCAATGGAATATTGTGGAATTCTGCATGAACGGCCATCGGGCTCAGTCATTTCATTATGGTAAAAGTACCGCTGCAAGTCCGTACTTGAGTCACGGTCATACGATACGCCTAGCTGCTCCCTCCAGAATTGATTCGAAGCTGATGAAGAAAGGAAGAAAGAAAGTACTTGAGTTCACGCAATCAGAGCTGCAGCGTACACACACACCCAATCTAGTCGCACTCGTTGAATATCACACCACCCAATTTTGCACAATACTAGTTTCGTTTAACTTTTCAAGCTCGAAAAACCATATCTAGGGAGTGCTCTCTTTTCTAAGGATTTCTCGAATCACAACGGCAGGCAAAGAAGCATTTGATTAATTTCAAGGTATATGATTCGGGGTATATAGGTTGATATACCTAGAGCCTATGACTGTCGGCTTCTAATTCGACTCCAAAGCCGCTCCTTGACTGGGAAGACGCACTCAAATCAACGTCCACAACAACCACACCAGACAGACAAACGCAGTTAAATGCTGATCTGGCCACCCCACTTTCGTCGCGCCAGCAATTGCGCGATCCTCAGACTGCGGGTCCACCAGCGGCGCGGCCGCCCCAATCGTCTCGTTGACGCATGTCAGGAACATCCCGTTCGCCCAGCTCGGCACGGGCGCGTCCGGCATGCTCGCGTTGTCGAGAAGCGCGGCGGTGTCGTTGTACCCGTCCAGCATGAGCACGATGCTGCTCGCGCGGTAGTACTGGATCGCTTGTTCCGGTTTGGGGGAGATGGGCGAGGAGTCGTTGTACGGCACGGGCACCGCGAGATCTGAGTCCAGTGTAAGGAAGGAGGAGCAATTGACTACGATGGAGGAGGCGAGGGAGGTGACGGTCGTGTTGTCAGCGAGGACGTGGACGGTCGTGTTTCCCGACACGGATTGCAGGGTCATGTCGTACATCGAACCGCCCGGGCGGCTGGAATTGTTGGGTTCTCCATACTGGCGGTACGAGGGTCACTCTGCGAAACAAGGGAGAACTGGAAGCACTTACTTCGTTGTCGTGCAGGTACTCTGCACCGTATCCCACCGCCCCGCCCCAAACCACGGGCCAGAAGTAGAAAGGTAATCCCCGTCCATCGACTCCGCGGGCTGAAATACCAGGATAGCCACTCCCATAAGTGCTGGGTATCAATGATAATCAGAACCCATTACTCTGCTGCGGTAATGATATTTGAGCAGAAAAAGCGCCTCACCGTGTTCCATAGATGTCAGCGCGCGTCCCGCCGCCCGCGCTCCTCCCCGCGAAAGCCTGTCCTGGGGGTATAACGACGGTCCGGTTGTCTCCGGCGCCGTACGCACTCGCGGTCGTACTTCCGCTTCTGCCCGGTACAGGTCCACCGGACAATACTACGGGTACGGAAGACCCCCGAGAGGCAGACTGCCCCTCGCCGCTGCCGCCGCTTGATACTTTTCCACCACTGCTCGAGCCGCCCTCCTCTCCACCACCGTCATGGTCTCCCTTACTACCGCTGCTCTTTCCGCCCCCGCCACCCCCCTTTCGTCGGCCTAATTTGCGCCTGCTTGCGTGAGGACGAGGAATGTACATGTCGATTTCAGCAGGTGAATGAGGGAGGACTCGAAATCGGGCGCCATAGCCAGCATTTATGGGGCAGATGACATCCTACGGTATCACGGACTCGTTGACGTTTGCATCGCGCTTTGCTTGATGTACCTTGAGATGCAGTCATCGTCCGAGGAGGACTGAGTGCATCTGCACAGCCTACAAGTCCGCAACGGTATGGTATGCAAAGAGGCCAGGAACAGTAATTTGATTAGCCATCACGCACTGATGCCACAACAATGCGTATATAAATACATTGCGCATCGATGTTGCATCAGGACGTCCTGCTTCAAGTTTTCAGCTGTCGTGTAGTTGATGGGCAACTTGACGGTGTCGAGCGGTGCGAACTTGCCCACTGCATTTTATTCCAAGGGCACTGACATAGAACGCACTTTACTGTGTTATGAGATAAGAGAATGATCGTGAAGAAATATTTGAGGTACTTACAGGCGCAGAGGAATTCGAAGGAGTGGCTATATATAGGAAATAATTCCATCATAGGAAAAGAACAAATATAGCCAAATAAACGCGGTGCGGCTGTGGCTTTGTGGCTTTCCCTTCATGCATGCCGAGTGTCGGGAGAAGTTATGGCGGGGGTGACCCTCGAGGGACAGTCTGCCGCGTGTATTCGAAGTTAAGGTAGCCCTAGGTGAGGCGGACGGACGGCGGCCCATCTCGAGAGCAGAAACGGAAGGAGAGTCAGAACCGTGCGGCACCACAAATTAGTTCTCTCGACGCCTGGAGCTCGTGCAATGCCTGTGCTTCAGCGAGAAGAGCGACGGAATGCCGTGAAATGTGCAAGGCAGAGCATACCGCGGGTATGCATGTCACGTTGAGGGTAACATTGAACTCCTACTCAATTATACGTTATGGAGCACAGTCTGTAACTAAGTAGAAACGTACGAGAGTAACGGGTAAACGTACATTATACTCCAGAAGTAGAACCGCAATCGTGAATAGAACATGGGTACGATGAGTACCGGCATAAGATAGCATCGCGAGGTCATTAAGAAAGCACCTGAAATGCAGGCGGGGAGATCCAGAGAAAAGGCGAACAATGTTACTCACATCTCCACTCAAAATATAACGTGAGCCAAGGTCCACAAAACCCACCACATCCCAACGACGCCCACAACCTGCTGGTTCGCCCCCGCCCACCGCGGTTCCCCCGCGCTAATCAACGGCGCAGCCAGCCCGATCGTCTGGTTCACGCAGTCCAAGAACGTCCCGTTCACCCACCCCGGGATGGGCAGGTCCTGCTGGCTCTGCGTATCGTTGCCCCCGCTGAGCGCGGCGGTGTCGTTGTACCCATCCAGGGTCAGCACGATGCTGCTCGCGCGGTAGTACTGCACCGCCTGCTCGGGCCGTGGCGAGCTCGGGTCGGAGTCGTTGTACGGCACGGGCTGGGAAATGGAGGAGGTGAGGTAGGAGGAGCAGTTGGACTGCACGGAGGAGAGGAGGGACACGACGGTGCTGTTGTCGGCGAGGATATGCAGCGTTGTGTTCTGCGAGGCGGAGGGGAGCGTCGCTTCGTACATAGGTCCGCCTGGGCGGGAGGAGTTATTGGAGTCGCCGTACTATAAGCCAATCAAGGGTCAATAGCGGGTAGAGAATAAGAGATTGGGCGCTTGCCTCACGGTCGTGCAGGTATGCGGCGCCGTACCCCAAACCTCCACCCCATACTACGGGCCAGAAGAAGAAAGGGAAACCAAGGCCGCCGACTCCGCGGCTCGCTATGCCTGGGTATCCACTGCCATACGTCCTTCAGAACGGGTCCCATCGCAGAGTCAGTTTCGGCACATCACACGATCTTCGACAATCCAGCACACACCTCGACCCATAGATATCGTTCCTCGTCGCCCCACCAGCACTCCTGCCGGCGAACGGCTGACCAGCGGGTATAGTGATCGCCCTCCCTCCCCCGTTCCCATACGCAGTCGCTGTGCTCCTGCCACCAGGGACGGAGCCTCTCAACGGCACGGACGACGTCCGTCCTGCACTCGAGCCCGAGCCGCCGCTCGACCCGGTGCTGCCTCCCGATTTGCCTCCGCTGCTCCCCCCTCCGCCCTTGCCGCCCCCGCCCCCTCCTTTCCTTCGGTACAAGTTGCGCTTGCTCGATGGCGACGAGATGAAGGGCACGTACATAGCGAATCGCGGTACGGATAAATAGGTCCTGAAAGAGCAGGCTTCCGTCTGTTGGGAGTCTTTGTCACGAGTTTATATCGGGACGGATGTCGGCTGTGTCGCTTGCTCTGCGTACTGTACGTCGAAGTGGATCGCGCGATGGCGGACCGAGCTCAGGAGCATCATGCATGTCCCGCAGAAGGCACTGCCCCTCACGTTCGTAGCCGCGTCACCGGCATGTGCAGGAAACCGCTGCAGCATCCACTCGTGACGCAGACTCGGAAGCGCCGACAAAGTCGCAGGCTCGGAATATCTTCACAGCTTCGAGGCACGTTCCGTATGTTTAGATTCCGCATACGTATGTTTTGCTGTGGAATGCATATGCATTTTGGAACATTGTATGGTCATCTGTCGCAGTCTTCTCACTGTTATAGAGACCAACCGCCCTACAGCCTTTCCGGAAGGGGTGCAGATGTGTGGCGGACACAGACATTACCCGTATTTTTCTCGCGTTAACACCAGTTTGCCGCTCATTGTTGGTAGGAGCTGGATGGAGCTGCGATGACCACCGGGTATGCAGTACATCGCCGCCTGGTGTAGAAACTTGAGTTTAAGCTTTATATGCTCGACTGAAGCCTCCAGAAGCGGCCTGCTACAGGGATGTCGACAGTGTTATGGGCACCCCGGTGCTCCGATAACCGTCCGAGAAGTATCCCAGGCCTGTCTACAATGAGACGCTTGAGGTTGGTTTCCAACATGCATCAGCGCTCAGTGCTCGGCCGTGAGGTTGGGAGACGTATGACAGGTATCCCGTAAAGTCACTCGCCGTCTTCCTGACTCCGTATTCCTTCCTCGACTAGAGCTCAGTGAAATACCCTGAGTTCTTGGCAGCGGTTAATAACAAGCTGTAATTAACAGGTTAATTACTTGTCAATATCTCAGGGTCGGATTTCCCTTGGTTAATTACCCTGAACCGGGTATTCGGGATATGGTTGTCCAAGGAGACTCTGGGCAGTGTCGGGGTGTATCTGGTGTTTCGTGAGCGACTACAAGCCACTCTACGGAGGACGAGACAGTTGTGCCACCTACTGTCCAGGGAATGAGGTTGTTTTCGTCGTGTGCTAAGCCTGGTCTCTCACGCTGCTCGATGACTTACTCCTCACAGTACTGCTCCTACGAAGGCTTTCAAGTGCTCCAAAGAGAACATGTCTCTACATTTATTGAGGCCTTAGGGATGTGTTTTACGAGCACCGACTCGAATGTACTGTCGAGGACACGGAATGTGGCCAAATGTGGCCTTTCGGTTATTGACAATGTTAATTACATGTTAATAACTACAATTTTTGTTAATAACGTTGATAACGCTGTCGAGAACCCAGCGGAGAGTAATTCACCGAGCTCTATCCTCGACCGACCGTAATTAACCATACATGTGGCGTACAGGTTTCCCCTCGCCCCCTGATACGCTACATCCTAGGGTATACAGATACCTGCATTCTCGAATCACCTGCTGGCCTCATGGATGCGCCGGCCGTCTCTGCGTTGAGCCCATGCCCCTCCTTGTCGAACAACCAGGCGCTGCAGACAGCTTGGGCCACCGGCTCCCCGTACTTCGACACTCCCTCGTCTACGCGCGCTGCATCGTCTGGTCCGCATGTCGGTATGGCTCTCGCCAGGACACTGGCCGTCTCCTCTTCCTTGGCCTGCACCGCCGCGCATCGACCCGTATTCGATTCCAGTCACCCTCCGTCTCAAACGGCTGGGTCCTCGGATACCTCAGATGGTCGGGACCTGCTACAGAGCCCAGTCTGAGTGGGTCTCCACAGTTCGTGTCCCTGACGTGACTCCAGCGGTGCCGGGCTAGATCTCGTCGGTCTCTAACCCCGGGGTGTGGGCTCAACAAGGACGCCCTTAAGGGTAGGTGTGAGCGTCTTTATTTGCGTGCGCGACGGGATGGGATGGCTCGTCCAAAACGTACATATTGCCTTGCTGCAGTCTATGGTCAGTATGCGCTGGGCTCAAAAGATACTGACAGGCTTAAATCATTGTCAAACATGGACAAACAGAGGGCAGAATCTGTCCCGTCGCCGGTGCATGATCAAATCTTTCCTAGCTACAAGAACCACCACGGGTACCCTCGGAATGCGGGTCCGCGTGCATAACGATGATGTCGCGGGAATTAATGCATGACTTCACCAAAGCTATCTTCGAACCGGAAACCCCTGCGCCTCGCCAACTCCCGGAACATAGCCCACATATCTGGTTGCGGCACGCGCAATGTCGACCATTCGGCATGCCATTCTTCCTGGTCGAAGCACACCACAGCCAGTTTGGGCGCGTGCATAGACGATAGGTTACCCAGGAAGGCGTGATAAATGGGCTCGCGAATGTCCTTTCTCCAGTGCCAGCCATGGCACCCCAGACCAAGACGCTCGATGTTGGGCAGCGACAAGCCCGATGGGAATAGATGTACCAGATGATGAGTTACCTGAGGTTGGGCATTGCGTCGACGAGGTCCTGAACTGAGAACTGAGCATGCGTCAGGTGGGGGGGGGCTTGCGGAGAGTGAGGTGCGTGAGCTGAGAGGTGAGCATTGCCAGGACTTCGGCGGGACGGAGAGAACCAGCTCCCGCAGAGCCTCGAAGCGGTCGATACCGGGGAGAAACGGAGAATACAGCGAGGAAAAGTCGTGCGAGAGGAAAGAAAGGTTCGGGAGAACGAGAGGCGGGACGGGCGGCAGTTCGCCTGCGCTGCAGCTATGTCCGTGTTCAGAGGATACTGACAGTCTTTCACAAACTTGATGACCTGCAAGCAGGGTGATTGGTTGAGGATTGAACGGAAGTCTTCCGGGCTGGGCGAGGAACCCACGTCGGTGTCCCACCCCACTACACGCAGGGACGTGCTGCAGCACGCCAGGGCAGACAGCATGCAACGCGGAGCGGCGTCATCGTGCTTGCCGCGCAATTTGCCGGGGGCTCGATCCCTGGTGCGCACAGTAAAATTCGCGAGATTTGGAAGCGCCTGAATAGTTTTGGCCAGAAGGTCGAAGGGGTAGACGCAATGTATCGGCCGGTCCGTACGGCGGAGGAGCAGACAGAATCGTAGAACGCAAGCTCGGAGGTGTGCGGCACGGCCGGGATTTTCTCTTGCAAAGAGGGTCCGATGCAGGCGCCGGATGCCCACATCCTTTACTGCCACAACTACCCGGTAAAGGATGAGCGTCGCAAAGTGATCTCCAGAGCAGGCAGACGCGCATCAGCGCACCTTTCGTCACGGGACCCCGCACCCGAGTGCGTTTGAGTGTTTCCTTCTGTGATAATTGAAAGGGGTCTGGCTGTTTGTCTCTAGGCCTACACGCCCAGTCTAAAAAAGGGTTTCGGCAAGGTCAGACGCCAGACCCCACCAGGCCCTACGCGTGACATCGACTCGATATAAAAACCGAGGATCAACTTGGCCTCTACTTGACTCGTATGTCGAGTCAAGGTCGGAGTCGGTTATCAAGCTGACATCCGGGCTGGACAACGAGAAAGCGGGTTTTCTGGCCAGCGGGCTTTCACATTTCATACAGCTGCTTGATTTTATTGCTCCTTGCATATGAATAAGAAAATGAAGCATATATTGCAATGCTATCTACAGACACTGTGTATATACAGTACATATAATCTTGTAAATACCAGACTGCCTGTCGCAGTCACACCTATTAGAGCCCGCCTGCCACAATGAAACAGCACATTCTGGACGTGATCATGAGCATAGACCATAATGATATTACAATACACATACCCGATTCACCCTGACCCCAGATGCACTCCACCAACC